GGCTAGGGTCGGGTAGATCTGACCCCTTGAGTAGATACTTTAGCAACTCTGGTAAAGAAGGAGGCATTTTAAATAACGAATAATTAGGGTGCCATTTTCTCAATATTTTGATCCTTTTCTCGATAAAAACTAAATTTATCTTTTTTTTTATTTTTTTATTTTATTCTTTTATTTTATTTTATTTCTTTCTTTTGATTTGTAAAAATTATTTTTAAATTTTATCGGGAAAAAGGCATATTTTGAAAAATTGAGGGTGTCTAATTAAATATTTAAATCCCCCAATTAAAAAAATATTTTTAATTTGTTGCGAGGAAAAAAAAAATAGATTTGTCACCAAAATATTTTATAATTCCCTTATTAGATAACACATCTCAATCGGATACGAAATGAAAATAGAATATTAAAATGAAAAAAAAAAGTAAAAGAAAAGAAAATAGTAGAATAGAATAGAATAGAATAGAGTAAGAAATAGAATGGAATAAGAAATAGAATAGAATAGAATAAGAAAGAATATAATATAATATAATAAGAAATAGAATAGAATAAAATATAAGAAATAGAATAGAATAAGAATAGAATAGAATAGAGTTCAAGCAAAAATAAAGAAATTAAAATCTCAATTCATTTTCCAAAATAATATAAAAATCCCTAAATTTTTATATAGTTTTTTTAAAAAATACAATCATTTTTTTAATTACATTTTTTTAAATATTTTTCCCACTAATTTTTCATATATTATATTATATTATATCATTTCTAATATTATTATATAAAAATAGGTCTAAAGCAGCTGTTCCAATTACGTTATAAGATGTTAGTATTTATTTAGTATTACTACTACACATTACATATAACAATATAGTAAAAAGGATTATTAGATAATGTTAAAAAAATTTTTTAAATCGTATTATATATATAAACTTTTAACGTATACATACACAACACACATAATAAAATTGTAAATGATAAAGTAATTTTTTTTTAATTTTATAAAGTGTATTTTTATTATTTAGTATTTATAAATTAATCAATATATAATTTAGTTTCTAAAGAAGAAAATAAATCAATTGTGTTATGGGAGTCAGGAGGGGTAGGGTTAGAAGGTTCTATCTACACTGATGTCCAATAATTCCGACCTTATATTAGAAAAAAAGAATTATTGGCTTGTACTTTCATTTACAGAATTCGGTGGGGGGGGGGGAAGATTGAGGACAAGCATTTCGAATTTCGAATTCTAGTCCGGCCAAACCGAATATCTATCCGAGTTCGATCGGATATAGCTCGAACGGATTTGGATAAATCCGATTAGGACACTAATTTTTAAAAACTGTCAATCAATTCGGCGGCCTCGAGTTGCCTCTGCTTTGCAACGCCAATTTCTATAGCGAGTGTAATCATTTATATTTTTTCGCGCATGCGTTGATCAAAATTTTACTTTATTTAAACTCCAGCAAATGCCCTGAAAGAAGCTGGTTGAGTGGTGACGGTGGTTTTATACCAATAAAGCAAAACGAAAGGTTGATACGAAGATGATTGGGGAGGAAATACTCAAGACTACAACAGGAAAGAAATACTGATAATCAATTATAGGAAGATTATTTCTTAAATGAGACTTTCTTTATTTAGGGTTTTCTTTCTTTCTTTCTTTCTTTCTTTCTTTCTTTCTTTCTTTCTTTCTTTCTTTCTTTCTTTCTTTCTTTCTTTCTTTCTTTCTTTCTTTCTTTCTTTCTTTCTTTCTTTCTTTCTTTCTTTCTTTCTTTCTTTCTTTCTTTCTTTCGTGCTTTGTTTCTTAAGGGAATGTCAATTATTGAATAAAAGGTTTGAGTGTAAAAAAAATAATAAAACAAACAAAAATAATATATAAAAAGAAAAGAAAATAAAATAAAATAAAAATAAAAAATATTGAAAAGTTGAAATAAATATTTTACACAAAATAAAGTGAAAGATAACTTAAAAAATTCATCCATCCATTCAAGGACATATCGTAGCAAATCTTAGTAATAAAAATTAAAAAAAATTAATAAATAAAAAATTCATTATTTTAATTTTATTTTTTTTTTAAAAAAATAAAAATATATTTAAGTTATGGTTAAACGCGTGTTATTTTAATAAAAATAATTATCTTTAAATTTGCGAAATGATATAAATAATCGAATAAACGCCGGCCCGGTTCAATTATTCGCAGTTCGGAAAAGGCGGAATAACCGTCCGCCCGGTTCAATTATTCGCAGTTCGGAAAAGGTGGAATAACCGTCCGCCCGTTTAATCATTCGCAGGTCGGAAATGGTCAACTAAGTCCACGGTTTCTCGTAATTTTCCTAAAAAAAATTCTGAAATTTCTTATCGTCTTTATCCATCGTTTTACAATTCATATTCGTTCCACTTGAAATGATACATGAACGTTATAAAAATGATTGATTTCTCAAAATCAATAAGTTAATCGAAATGACAATTCCCAACCCTCAAATATTCGGAATTCTATTCGATTTCGCATGCCCGAAACCTGTCAATTTAATAAACGTCACATTATTCGGCTAAGTTATCGATAATCAATCAATTGGCACAAGAGTAAATTCCTCTTTACACTCTATGAATGATTAATCGGTTTTTTTTTAAAAAAAAATAATCAATATTTGTTTTGATTTTTATTGATTTTTTAAAATTTATTTATTTTTTTTTTTATTTATGGACTGATGGAATAAGGAAGGATGGAAATAAAATGTGACCTTTTTCACATTCCTAGTTCGTTAAAAAAATTTTATGACCCTCTAGGAAAATATTATTTTTCGAGAAAGTTTACTTTTGAATATAATTATAATATATATATGTATTTTTTTAACATAATAAATTTAATGCGTCAGGAAATATGAGGGAGTGAGTTAGCCATTTTATATATGTTCATCAGCTGATTGGGGTAGGGGGTTGGCGGTGGCGGGTGGGTCTAGACGGATGTGGGCAGAAGTAGAAGGAGGAAGAACTCGGACAAACGATTAGTTTTATTTCATTTACAATTTTGAATCTAAATTTAGGGCAGTAAAATAGCTCTTTTATCAACGAATAAAGTATCGCGATACTTTTAAGTAACGAATAAAGTATATCATTCTAACCCTGTAAATCCAAAATGAATAAATAATATTTAATTTTATATATATAAAAAAAAATTACTCTAGGAAAAAGAGTAAACATAGTATTAATTATATGCACAACCAAGTTGTGTTCCCAAATAAAAAGAGAGTCATAACCGGAGATCTAAACCGAAACTTTCGGGTCAGGTGTTCGGATAGTTAACGGTTCAAGCTTCCGGTTAACTATTCGGAATTGGAACCGATAAAATAGGAAATACCTGATTTCATTGGTACCATGACGCCTAATGTTTTAAATATAAATGAAATGTAGTTTGGCATTAAATTGCTATTGGTTGAGATTGCTATTGGTCTAAAAATTAAATTATTTACATTCTAGTATTTGTGTGGGTGTTTGGGGGGGTGGGTCTCAAAGTTAGATAATTAGTCTGCCTTTCTTTCTTTCTTTCTTTCTTTCTTTCTTTCTTTCTTTCTTTCTTTCTTTCTTTCTTTCTTTCTTTCTTCTTTCTACGATATTACCAAATTAATTTTGAATCATTGTAATATATGATCGATTCATAATAATCGGTTGCCGTAATAGTATCTTTGAAAGTGAAAACTCACTAGTAAATAATAAAAGTATCGTGATACTTTTTCAAAAACTAACGTTCACTTATTTTATTTGATTGATGTTTTGAAAAGGTTAAAATGTTTATAAATATAATTTTTATTTTAGGGCTTCGATTTATGGTCCCCAACTCAAAGAAATTGATATTAAAACATCTGATTTTTTTTAGAAAAATTCCTATTCGTCTATTTATAATCACATGACCTGTCAGTGACCAAGATTTTGTACATAGTATATTTTTTTTAAACTATTTTTTCCCCCTTTATTATTCTTTCTAATCTTTTTAAAAATTCTTGCTATTTGTATTTTATCTCTTCTCCATTCTCTTTTTTTCCCCCCATAAATTATTTTCACTTCTTTTCACTTTATTTTCTTTCCAATTAATTGTTCTCTTTTGTTATTTGATTTCTTTAATTTTTTTCTTCTTTCCAAATTATTATTTTTTTTTATTTTTATTCATAATTCATTCTAAAAATTTTGAGATCTCAGTATTTTTTGAGGCTTTCAGCCGGAAATTCCCTCTTTTTCTGAAATTGTAATTCTCTGAAGAATATATTTTTTTCGCAAAATTTAACAAAATTTTTTATCTTTCTTTCTTAAATATATCAATATTGTGTTTTAAAATAAAGTTTTGCTTTCTTTCTTTCTTTCTTTCTTTCTTTCTTTCTTTCTTTCTTTCTTTCTTTCTTTCTTTCTTTCTTTCTCCGTTCTCTCTTTCTATTCCATTCCATTCTATTATATTCTAATTCTACTCCATTCTACGGATACTATTTATATTTACCCATATTACCCTGGTCCGTTCACAACTAATACCAAAATATAATGGACATTTTAAATCCAACCAATCAAATATATTTTTTTATTTTATTTCTTTTGCTCCCCTCGAAACATGGGAAAAAAAACCTAAAAACAATTTTTTAAATTTTTTATTTTATTTTTGATATTAAATAATCGATAATATTCCTTGTAATAAAATATAAAAAATACCATAAATATTAGTTTATTATAATGTGATAAAGGGAAATGAAAAATAGACACCACGAGGGAAATGGTTTTTGAAAATACTGTCTATAATATTATCGGAATTTTTTTTTTAAAATAAATAAAATGATTAGTGTCATATGTACCCCGTATCATAGCTACCCCTCCCCCCCATACTTAAATTTTGTTTGTCGTATAATAAAATAAAATTTATCGGGAAAAAATATAAAAAATAATAAAAATAAATATATATAATTTATATTTATCGGAATTTTTATTTTTTATTTTCTAAATATAAAAGTTTAAAAAATATATAATTATCGTAAAATTTATAAAAATAAATAAATTATTATTTTTAGAAAATGTCTAATGACGCTGGATACGGTTTAAGGTCATCGAACGGTGCCGCGTCCGCCTCGGGCGTTTATAGGATGATTCGATTTGACGGTAACAGATCCAACCCTTACCTCAGGCCCGACTCCAGACAAAAAAATCGTAAAGCGGGCACCGCCCCCAAATATCACCAAAAACGTCGCCGTTACTCGAAATTCGTTAGCAAAAAATATAACGACGCTTCCCGCCACGGTGATACCGACGAACATCCGCGGAAAGCGAACCGCCTAATGGCATTTCCGGGCGAGAGGGACACGAAAGAGGGGTACTATTCTAATCCTACTATCACGAATTTCTCGAATAAAATCGATAACGATTATAAAAACATTGATATTAATAATGATAATACTACTTTATCGAGAAACGAAGACAATTGTCCATCTTGGCTGACCACTCATATGAAACGAGATGATCGCAGCGTTTTTGGGCCACTTATCGTGTACGACAAAAATGGCTGCGAGTACGATGACGATGCCAACTCATATTCGCGTAAAATCGCCTTATTCAACGAATCGTTAGCTGAGGATGCTCGTAACGCATCCAATTGCCAAGAAAGTATGGGCGGAAATGACTTATACCGCAACAAAGGAACCAAGCACCGTCATTTAAAACTGAATGAAGGCGCATTTTCGGGTTTAGCGAGGATGAACCACGGTAACGAACCCGAAAAACAATGCTCAACATTTGACGGTCCGTTTCCGGCGCGTCAAAATCATACGCGCCATCAGAATGAAAGTCAATCTTACCAAGGGTCCAAATACTCTAGTCGCGAATACGATAATAGCCGTGATCCTAGAAAAGAATTTCATCGCGAACCCCGTAAGAATTTCCCACCTTCTTTGACTGATCTCGTTGATAAGGACACCTGTTATCTTCATGACAGGAATTTCGACTGCAAAGAAGACCTAGGGGAAGCTTTCTACGATTACGGGATCGCCCAATTGGATATAGACGATTTCAGCCCTGATCAAATCCAAAGGCTATATTCCGACACGCATCACCATTACGATTACGGTTTTTCCCCGCCAAACTCGTTACCCTCCATATTGACTAGATTATCTTATAAATCCTCAATCGATCTTCAATCTCGCACCGATAGTACTAATAGCCTCGACAGCGCCGACCAATTAGAATTGGGGAGTAACTTGGAGCGAGATTTTGAGAAGAAGATAAATTCTAATTCTATCCTCGACTCCCTTGACGATATTCGTGATGCCGCCACTAAACACTCGCGTTACAGAGCAACTCTACCTTACGAAGAGACTCCTCTATCTTACCAATTCACCGAAAGATTCGGCCAGCTTTCGGTATGTAATTCACTCCCCCTCAGTGTTTTATCGAGAAATGTATCGGATCAAAATGACTCTTACCATAAACCATCTTGCCCCAGACTGACCCTACCGAATAATAAATACTCTAGTTACGAACAAACATTGCCTAACAGATTTAACCGACACTTGGGTAACGTATCCATATCGAATTCGCTCTCCTGCGACGTTTCTCTCGTAAGAAGCGGAATTAGAAAGGGGCGCCATACATCCGGCGTTTTGCCGAAGAAACACAAACACCGAAAAAGTTATTATTTGGATCACCTGATCGACGCTCATTACAATTTCGAGGATTATCTTTCAAATGGTAAATACGAAGAAGATCTTGTACGTCGAAGTCGCTTAAATAAATTATCGAATATTAGTATCGGAGGGGACCATAATAGTATCGACGATAAAATAAAGTTCGCTACTTTTTTGTACAAGAAAAAACCACAATCCTCGAGAAACGTCGCAAAAAGCGACAGAAATCCTATGGGCAAAAGATGCAGAAAAAAATGGACAGATTTGATGTCCCCCAATAAAAACGAAAAGTGTGTCGTCAGGAAAATTCCCCTTTTCAAAAGTAATGATTATTTAGAGATCGGTTCCGCTCGGACCAAAGCCGGACCGGACCGGGCAAACGGATTTTAGGGCTGGGCCGGGTCGAATAAATTATGCTAAAATATTTTTGGCCGAGCCAACCTTTAATATTAATAAAATTATTATATTTTAGTCAGATAAGAAAGTCAAAAAAACGTGACGTCCATTAAAAAAATCATATGATTTTTGCTCGCGATTTCTAAAAATTGAAAAATTATTAGATCACGTGTTTTTTATTTTCTTTACTAAAATGTGACGTAGTTCAGGCATGGATAAAATACGAAGCGTGACTTCCTTGTCGCCCGGCCTAAATTTTACGATTCGTGATTAAAAAGTGTTCGTATATACAAATCAGCTGTATTAGCCATTTTGTGGACTGCGTTTAAAAATCAAAAATCCAACTTCTCCTCACTTCCGTTCTTATTAGAATGACAGTTTTTTTTTTAAATTTAAAAATTGTCATTGTGTAATAAAAAAAAAGGGTTAGGCCTCTTATATCTAAGAAAACAGTAGCGGATTTTCGCACATTTTAACAACCGGGTCGGGTATTCTCAGCAGACAAATATTCCGGTCCTGGAAAATACTAAATATCCTACCCGGCCCAACCTGAGAGTTTTGCCATATGCATCCACTTAAAAAAATAGCAAAAAAAAATAACTCAACTTTGCACATATATCTAGAAATCTCTTCTTTGTCAAATAACATATCAACTAACTTAACAACAATGTCTTCCCTTTACCGTTCTACCCCGTAAAACTTACCATTCGACCCCCCTCCCCTCCTCCCCTAACACCGCTAACTACCTTCTACGTTTTTGGCCATTATATAGGATATAATGGCTACCCGCACTTAATATCCGGTCTATCTAACCCTCCATTAAAAGAGATGTTCAACGCTCTGATTAACAGCTAATGGCATTCCCAATGACAAATAATCAGGGGCGGACTGGAGAGGCTACGGGCCTCGTGGGCCTTTTTTTTATAGCGGCCTCAATACCCCCATTTTTGCGGGCCTTCGGTCCGCTTTTGCCCGGTCTTCGCCCGGGTTCGCTTCTTCGATACATCACATGTTAAATATAAAAAAAATACATGTATACTCAATATATCAAATCAATTAATTACACATATAAAATTATTGCAGTTATTATACAATATTACAGCGCATAAAATTGCTGCACCTATAAAAACAGGCACCGATCATATTGTAAATAGCAGAGTTGTTAAAAGATACCTTTTAAATGGATCTAGATACAGATACATCGTCTAAAATAATATCTAGATACCGATATTTTAATCAAACCAGATACAGATACCACATTTTTATATCTCTTTAACAACTCTGGTAAATAGATATTAAAAAAATTCAAATAAAACTATTAAGGAAATATATAATTTTTACGTTAATAAATCTCTCATTAGCTTTGAACCTTGGCGCAGAAAACGCTTTCTAATTTTTCTTGGTCAATACTAGCTCTCAGCTTATTTTTATAATTTTTCGATTTACTAAATGTTTTCTCGCAACTAACCTGCATAAATTCATATTCCAAAAAAAAATAATTTATGTCACTTGTATGCGTATAAATTTCATATACGCATATTAAACACTTGTTTTGTTACATTTATTATCACACTCCGAGTTATTATCGTATTGTAATATTCCATTTTTTTTTCATTTGACTCCTCACTTGTATATACGATAATCTCCGTTTCACATAAATTCTGTAACCAAATCTTTGAATACACTGACAAATGAACATTATTCGTTACGTAATTTAACACTCAATATATATATATATATCTTTACTATTTATATCATCAAAATATCTAGGATGCAAATATTGCACATTCAAAGCTCTCAATTCGCTGAGAGCCGTTCCGACAAGCTGTTTATAATTTGATCAATTTATAGGACGAAATACTCCGAACCTTTAAAGATCAAGATGCTTTAGGAAGTTTATCTTGGCATTTGTCACTTATATATTCGCTTTGCTCGTCCTATTCTATTTTAGGGCAGAGAATTCTGTACCCTGATACTTCTCCGGGAGCTTTAAATACTAAAAAGTGTTTCATTTAAATTAGAAGCCATTTTATTGCTTTATTTTGAATCGATGTAATAATCGATGATACAGAAGACTTTAGCATCTTCTATCATTTTTCATGCTGACAAAGTACCTAATTTTTTTTTTCAGCTTGTGAAGATATGGCAGTGGCCCCATTATTTCGAAAATTTGCAAATATATTATGGCTGTACCTAGAGTCTTAAATTTACATAAATTATCAAGATTTTGTCTCAAATTATTTCATATCTATTATAAATCGAGGTGCCTTTATCGTTATTGGGAACAAGCTCTCTTTACCATATATCCATCTAAGGGCTTATTCACGTGACCACCACCTTATCTAACCTATTTTTTTGCACCTTTCTCAACTTATTTTGGCCCAGATGAATTATTCTGTTTCACCCAAGCATCCATCCCTTCTTATCTGTTTCACCGACCTGGATTTCATTTGATTTCAATGAAGCTAGAAACAAGAAATGTTGGCTCTATTAAATTTCTAATGTATAAAAAAAAATTATAATATAATAAATTAAATCAAAACTCAGCTTTCAACTCTACTCGAACGGAATCTCACTTCCATTTTAAAAAAAAAATTGTGCATTTAAATTATAGAGTAAACGACATGACAATTCTCAAGGAAAATCTGATATTTCAAATCATAGAGATATCATTAAAAATAAATGATAAGAGAAGATAACGTGAACATAATAATCTCGATCGGTCTAGTGGGCAAAATGCCCGTCTGGTCTTATGGTCAGTCCGCCCCCGCATATAATGATACCTAGACTGACGATGCGTTTAATTATGATGCGTTAGGAGGCGTCGTTGAATGCAAATCAGCTGGAAATCGCCATTTTTGGTAAAACCCATATTGGTAAATAATTCTCAATCATCCCGATGATTCAGCAGACAATTCCTTTAAATAAAGTTTGCATCAGACATAGGAAATAAATTGGTCTCTCGTTTAAAATTTTTTTTTATATAATGATTACGGGTAATCAAAATGGCGTCCTCAGCTGTTTTTCATTGTTGCGCACATTTTAATCGTCGGTCTAGGTATCATTTCATTGGGCGTCCCGTGACTTAAAGAAAAGTATTATTTATTTATTTTTTAAACTTATTTATAAACTGAATAAATATTTATTTTATTTTGGTAAAAAAAATCAAAAAAAAAATTAAATTAATTATATTGATCAAAAAAAAAATCCTAATAATGAAAGTTTTGACTTCCATTCCATTCCCTTTCCTTCCCGAAAGAAAGTAAGTAAGTAAGAAAGAAAGAAAGTAAGAAAGAAAGAAAGAAAGAAAGAAAGAAAGAAAGAAAGAAAGAAAGAAAGAAAGAAAGAAAGAAAGAAAGCAAAACTTTATTTTAAAACACAATATTGATATTTAAGAAAGAAAGATAAAAAAATTTTGTTAAATTTTGCGAAAAAAATATATTCTTCAGAGAATTACAATTTCAGAAAAAGAGGGAATTTCCGGCTGAAAGTCTCAAAAAATACTGAAATCTCACAATTTTTAGAATAAATTATGAATAAAATAAAAAAAAATAATTTGGAAAGAAGAAAAAAAATAAAGAAATCAAATAACAAAAGAGAACAATTAATTGGAAAGAAAATAAATTGAAAAGAAGTGAAAATAATTTATGGGGGGGGGGGGGAAAGAGAATGGAGAAGAGATAAAATACAAATAGCAAGAATTTTTAAAAAAGATTAGAAAGAATAATAAAGGGGAAAAAAATAGTTTAAAAAATATACTATGTACAAAATCTTGGTTACTGACAGGTCATGTGATTATAAATAGACGAATAGGAATTTTTTTAAAAAAAATCAGATGTTTTAATATCAATTTCTTTGAGTTGGGGACCATAAATTATCCAAAAATAAAAATAATATTTATAAACATTTTAACCTTTTCAAAACATTATTCAAATAAATATACAAGGTTACACTATGTAAATAAGTGAACGTTACTTTTTTAAAAGTATCACGATACTTTTATTATTTGCTAAAGAAAGAAAGAAAGACAGACTCTAACTTTGATCTTACCTTTCTTAACTTACTCCCCAATGTTTGCAGAAAAGATTTTGTCACATGACGTAGACAAATCATTTCACTAACGCTCTCATTATCAATTTAGGGCATACTACGACTTCTAACAGTAGTCAATCACGTGATTAATTATAATGAAAGTTTTATGTCTTTTATATTTATTGAATAGAAAATGAATTTAGGAAAGATAGGTATTCCAGTTCGGAAGAATTCCAGGAAAATGGTGACGACTTTTCTGGGTACGGTTCAAATCGTTTGATCGGAAATCGAAATATCGATCAAGCACGTGATCTTCTAGAAACGTCTCCTCTGGTCAGGTCTAAAATGGGGGAAAATGGTCACGATGATGACGGCGAAATTTGTCAAAATTTCGCGAAATTCTCCAAATTCGATAATGGCGAGGCGGGATTTCGATATTGCCAAAAGGAATCGTTGAATTCGTTGAACAAATTTATGGATTTTTCTTTAGAAAATTTAACCCCCAAGCGTTCGGTAAGTGATAAAAGATTTTATAGAAAATGTAAGTTTTAGTGAGTTGTAAGGAAAGGGGAAATGGAGAATTGGGAATTTAAATCTTAGTATAATCAACAGCTGGGCCATATTTTCCTTTTTATAGCGCTTAGCGTGTTACAAATTTAGCGGAAAGGGGTTTTAGCCCCGTATTTTTCTATAAAATGCTAGTTTTTTGGCGGTATTTTTTTTTATAAGCGTTATTTGAAAAATCGCTCGCCTTAAAACGAACAACGTTTGCGTACATCGACGATTGGCGTGCTCACGAGGAGGACATCTTTATTATTATCTCGGTCTCCTCATCCTATTTAAACGCTACGGTATACCCAGCCCCCCCCTGCCAAATCTTACCTTCAGTCTTATCGTGGCGGGAAAGTGACAACGTTTTTTCGTGGCTAATAGAGGTCTAAAAAGGCTCCATGTGGTCTGGGTCTAGAAAAGGATCATCGTCTCCTGGACGGGGTGTATAGACCACCTTATCCGGTTGTAAAAAACCTTGCTACAAAATTTCCCTACTGATTAAACCGGAGGGAAAACTGGCCAACCTGGGTGTGCCTGGAAATCGTCATTAAACGGAGAAGAAGAAGAAGAGGTATACATTAAGCCAGTTACCCAGGAAGAAATATCAACCTCTTGTATCCTGGAACAGTCGTCAGTGTTGGCGTTCACGCCGATATCTGTAGGGGGTTCGCAATAGTTAGTCATTTTTAATGCACATTTTCTTTCGAGAATTATATGTTTAAAAAAAGAGTCATAAAATGGCTATTCTAAACAACGTGATAAACGAGATAGAAATTATGGGATCCATAACTTAGGATTTCCTAGCCTAAACTTATCCTTCATTTACTGCTCATCGTTCCTCATGTAAGATCAAGTTATATTTAATTTTAAAAAGAAAAATCCTATATTCCTGCCAAAATCTCTTGCCACTTCCTCTTTGGGTATTACCATTATTTATATCATGACGGTCGCAATATTCCTTTACGTGTCAGTCAACGATTGATTTGGTATAGATAAGGCATGACAAATAAAAAATGGAGGGAGGGGTAAGGGAGTAGTAAAAGAATAAACTAAAACTCTATTTAATCATTTCAATTTTGTTTTTAAAGAATCTAGCTGATTGCCGAAACAACATTTTGAAGAACTACAAATTGACATTTGACAGCGGCCAAAATTCTATATTCGATCAAAGTCTCTCTGCCCTCAGTACTGCTGTCAGTTCATATTCCCCATTTTATTCAATATGCGATACCGCGTTGAGAAATTATGGCTGCAAATTGTACAACTCGGTGCCTAACATTTCTTTGGCTTCACTTAGTCAGAGAAGGATAGATGGATTCAAGATGATCTCATCATCGGTCGTTAAAGACAAAAAGGAAACCGGTAGAAATTTTTTTGATAGATCTTCCCCCAAAATGATTAACTGGACAGACGCAAAATTGACAGCTAGAAAAAGAAAAAAATATCATTACCATCAAAATCCTGATCTTTATCACGGAAATGCCCTGACAACTAAATTTATTCATTCAGTGGACAATTTCGATATAGGACAATATCTAAGAAATCCGCGAGACGCCTCAAAATTGTCCCGCGTGTGCGTTACGGAAAAGGACCTAGCGGGTTTAAATCAATAATTTTTCATAAAATAATATTATATATTATAATTCACTATTCTATTTATTTTTTGATGTGTTTCACGAATTGAAGATACAGACATCTCGAAACATATCAGCTGTTTGGATCTGAAATCAGACTCTACAAGTAATAATTATTTTCTTTATTCGTTCATTCATTCATAATATTGTTTGTCACGTGTTACTTTACTAAAAGAAGATTTCGTTCCGTCTTTACCGTCTCATGAATCCTTAAAAGCCAAAGATCGTTTTATTCGAGATGAAACATTTTGCCTAGTGGGTGATAAACATCTCGAGCACACTAACGGTATCGCAAATCGGTTAGGATCGCGCAGTTCTCTATCGCGTCGCGGTTCGAGCGACACCGACGGATCTAATCGAGACAAACAACTGGATAATTCGGGTGGGGAAAATTATATCGATCCGTCAGCTGATTTTAGGATACGTCGTAATTCGGACGGATACGATAGGTCCGAAAAATCCGAAAATTCGGAAACCTTGTGCTCTTGCTGCGATTCGGCCAAAAACCGAACCCGAAAGGGCTCAACGATTCGAAAAAGTAGCGACTTCTTAAATAGTTATATCAACGATGACATCGATAATTATAGCGAAATAACCTCTACCGTATCTCAAAATAGTCCACCCAAGAATTCGTATTTCAAGGGAAACGTTAAAAGGTCAAAAAGGAGGAGCGCTTTGTTAGAAAAGATGTCTTCTAAAGGATCTATTCCCGCCGGTAAAAATGCGAATAATTTCGGTATTCGCCATATTTTTTTTGTTTATATTTATTATTAATTGTAAGGAACCCAATCGAACGACGATAGCGAAGACAACGAAAGGCCGAATCTTATAGGGAAGGTGTTAGTGTCCATATTGTCTACCATGAACCACAGTCACGAGTCGAATGACAAGGACGAATCGCGTGGTCAATTCGATGCCCGTTGTCCCAAACATCGAAATATCCCGCAAATTTTGAAGTCCCTTTCTATGATTTTAGTTAGATGCATAGCACCTAAACCGCTTCTCTCTGATCATCATAGCCAACCTAATCACGAGGTTACACTCAAAAAAAAAGCAACTTACTCCAGTTATTTCATCATATATAATTAAGGACCGGCCCGGCCCGGGTTTTATATCCAGGCCCGGCCCGGGTTTTATATCCCGGCCCGGGTGCGGGTTTGCCGGTCTCTGATATATTTGTCGACTTTATTCCCGTTAATATTATACAAAATAGGACTTTGAGATTTGGCTCTCAATAACGAATTTTTGACTATATTACCGGTTTTGCGGTTTACGATAAAAAAATATAACCACCCCCTTTTTTTTTGCTTGTTTTTCTTGGGGAGAATGTTAAAATCCTTGTAAAAAAAAATTAAATTTAACTGAAACTCTTGAAAGAGGACAAACAACGTTAATTATTTATTTTCTAAGAAGAAGAAGGATCGAGATATGGCAAGAGTAAGGTACGACGCCTAAATTCGTTAACTTAAAGGTGTTTAAAATACTGTAACTTGATGAACGGCTTCCTGGAATATGATCTTTTAGGATTCGGGGATAGATCCTAAATCTTAGAAATCCTGAATCCAAGAAATGGTCTTTTTTGGATAAATTATTCGCCCCGAAAAGTATAAGATATTGTAAATGTTTATAAATGAAAGGTTAGGGGGGTAAATAAATTAAAAATTCAAAATATTTCTAATAATTTTCATTTTATTGATAAGAAAATTGTATATTTTTTTTGATTCACAAAGGAATCATCAATAAACGATGAATGCTGTCAATACTGTCAACTCGAAACGTCATTAGAGAGTGTCAGCGTAACCTTCAATCACAACAAAAACCTGTCACGGGAAATTTATTCTTCAACCCTTTTATTATCCGTATTAACGTCACTTCAAGTTCTATCGGCTTTGGAAGTAACCGTTACATTTTAATTTTTTTTCTTTGTTTTTTTTTCTTAAATTATTTCTTCCATTCTTTTATTCGTAGAAGAAGAAAAAAAAATGGAAGAAATATCCTTTTTTCCTCAACTTCTTAAAATGAACACTTTATATTGACCAACCTATAAGATGAGCTCTTTAAGGTGACCAATTAGAATGATAAATAAAGCTAGTCATTAGTAGGTGATTTGATTACGATAAAAATATGTGGTAACCTTAAAAAAAATATAATAAATGACACATGTCTATATACGTATCACTTAATTTTCTTTTCTCTCTTTTCCTGATACATATGATTTAACCAAATTTCGATACAGAACAAAAGCAACGAATTATCGGCAAATTGCAATGACAAGGCATCAACGATCAAATTTAAACAGACAGATTGTCAAAATGATCAAATTGATATCTTACTTAAACAATCGGATGAAAAGTATATTTCCTTTTTTGTGTACCATTAATAAAAACGAATTCAATTTCTTAATAAAAATTCTGGGTTTTGGACAATATGGCGGCAATATAATGGATTCTTTTTTGGCAATATTTTTATTTATGACACCTAGAAGAAGCCCCCAGACCCCATTTTGGGCGGTATCAACGGAAAATAAACAATATAAGATAAAATATATTTTAAAATATTATTTATTTACCCCCTCCCCCCCCCATTAGATCTTTGTCGAGATCCTACTATAACCCGAAGACCCTAAGCGACAAAAATCTGCCTCTCCCCATCGGTGATCTCCTAGAAACAACCCTCGCCCGAAATAATATAGATATGAGCTCACCTATACTGAATCTGATGGAAAAAAGTTTGACAGAAAGGAGATTACGTTTAGACTCCATTACTACCACCACTATCACTACTACTACGACGACCTCCACCACGTTATTATCTCTGGCAAAAAAATCATTCCCCATTCCGGATAAATCTCGCGCCATTCCAAAAAAAACTCTAGCGACCACTCCAGAAAGATCTCCTCACAATTCTGTCACGGTAACCGGGTCTATAATAAAGGTATCCGATATCGTAACAACGACATCTGTAAAGGTTATCGACGCTATATCGAATTTAACGGATTCGTGTCAAAATACCGACGCCGCATTAATCACCCCGTCTAGCCTAACCGGGAAAAACAACTTTTTCAATGAGATAAAAGTGGGTTCGTTGTTCGGGAATCGAAAGGCGAATTACCGGACCTAACGTTCCTACGCCAAAAATGGCTGAGATTGAAAAATTTCGAGAAAAATGGAATTGTCGAGATTAGATCGGTTGTTACCACTGGGCCCTCCATTTCAATTTTCCCCGATACTGTTTGTTTAGAGGATAATGGTTATAAGTGTCCTAGGAATATTCATATTAAAACTATGTCACGTGATATGTGCTCTTCCCTCAAGGTGAGCGATACAAATAATTCGAATATTGTTACAGTTCGTTACGCGGATGAGGAGGCCATAACGTCGAAATCACAATGCTCGAATCTTAATCGCGAATTTATTTTATCGAAAAAAACGCAGTCCTCGGATACCCGCCATAACAATGTCGGCGTTTTCGGTAGCAAACCCTACACTATAGCTGAAGAGGACGAAAAAGAAATTGTTCAATTATTATTTGAAGGGGAACGCAAACAAAATCACGAAATTAGTTTTCACATAAAATTTAAAATTGATAATTTATACAGCGAAACCTTCCAAAGGTGATCACCTCTATTTATTTTGTTATCTCCAAGTCGACCACTATCTGAATCCATTTGAAAACGAAATCTCCTCTACATTTGACTAAAACGCATAAGTAGTAACCTTCCATACACTCCTACCATTGAGAGGGGGCTGGGTTAGAAATAGGGAGTTGTGAAGACGCTAGTGTAGTTAATTTGCCGGGTGCTCAGGCCTGCTATGAGAACGAAGCAGAGATCCGAGGTTCTGACCCGGAGGTCTGGGGTTTACACAACCAAACTAATTAACAACACTAGGATAGAGGAAGTTGACAATTCTCATTTTGTTTGGAGTTATATCGTCATCGATTTAGGGAGGGGGAGGAAGGAGTGTAGAAGTGTCTGTCATCTAGTTAAGGTTTCACTGCATATATGGGGGAGGGGGTGGGGTGCAAGCTACACTATAGGTTAAAATCAGGGCTGTATTGTTTGGCTTAAAATTTTAACACACAAGACCAAACAAGGAATTATTTATGGGCAACCCATCAAGCCCTGGGTAGGATGGATCTGGGGCTGGTTAGGACCACTTTTAGAAAATTATCAATATTTCCGCTAAATTTAGTTTAAAATTCCTGTGTATCCGAATTCCGGTTCCACAACCCCGGTTAAAATCATATGTTGATGAATTTATTGACGAAGAGGGTTAAAGCGTTTAAAAATGGTGAAAAGTAAATAAAAATCGTTTTTTTTCTCTTCATTTTTATATAAAAAGATCTTAGAAATGAGATAACTTCTCCCGCCAAATATTCCGTAAAAAATGGTCATGGTTTAGACGAATCGATTAAAACCAAAAAGACAGTTAGGTAATTTTAAATAAATATATTTCTATTACATAGATGGCACTATATTATTTTTTTTCAAACAAATGGATGGATTTTTTTTATTTACTTTCTTTAGTAAGTGTTAAAAAATAAATAAATATTGAACTGATCCGTATCCCATGGTTTTTGAATGAAACATATTGATATCCACACAGAATAGGGGTCGGTTAAAAAGAAGAGCCTTCCCCCCCAGATTTAAATTAATTATTTACTTTCCTCTTGTACACGGAAAACTCTTGGCTACGTCACAGCCCCGCACTGCACACTGTATGACAATTTCTTGTATAACAAATTTGTTTAGATATTTTCTTTCTTTAATGTTAGAGTGTTGTTGGGCTAAATTACCTAAACTTCGACCATCTCTATTATTGCTTGATCAGGGTTTTAGCCTAAAAAAGTTGGATTTTGCTTCTAGGTTGAGTCTCAACTTGAGAAAGCTGCGCTGTTTTATAGCTGACTAAAATTAGGTGCTCTAGCAAACTATTGCAAATAAATAGTATGAAAATTCTCGTCAGTCTCAATTTTTCTTAGATCCTCTGCACGGTGATAATAATTGGATATTATTTATATTCAAGTTTTTGCGCAGACGTGAGGTCTCTAGAAATCGACGATTATCCAAGAGCCTCTACAACCGTTTTCCTCGAAGGAGCGAACGAATGTCGAAAGGGCGTCGAAAATGAACCAGATTTAGTGGGTGAGTGAAAAAAATATTCTCTTTATTTTAAATATAAATTTAGGAATATGTTTAGGTGTTATTAAACGGCGCGATTTGAGTCTAAAAAACAGCTGACTCGACATTTTAGCCAGGATAATACTGCCGTTAGCCTTCGAGATTTCGCTAATAGATGTCCAATCCTTTGTGCCATCTATGGGAATAATTATTAAGGGCTTTACTTTATATATTTTTTCTGGATAAAATATTGAGTTGGCAACGAGCCGTTAAACAACACTGAATGTTTTCATAAAAAATAACAACTACTCTATATATATATATATACAAAATTGTAAGGAATAAAGGGGAAAAATAATATTTTTTTGTTAAATTATCGAATTATAAAAAGGAATAGATAATGATGACAATAATAACGCCCAAAAGACGCGATTCCACGACGTGCACCGCTGCGTTTCACGCGTTTTCTCGTATTTCGGTATACTCACCTTTACGAGTCAGGGTGACGCGTTTAAAGGAAAATTTCGCGACGATTTAAATACAGGTGGTCGGCCGATGACCCAAGATCTTCTCGGGGAAATCAAAGAAAATTATCAGAAAGTTATTATCAAATTTATAAATAAATTATGATAATATTTTTTAGTTAGAAATATGTTTTTTATTACTATTCGTAAGAGTAATCATATATTATACCATTGATCTTCTCAATTTTTTAGACGATGTATCTGTATCTACTAGATCCATTTAAAAAGTATCTTTTAACAACTCTGGTGATTAATGTTAGCATTGTATTGTTAATTTAGAGGGTCATGCTAAAGGGAACGACATGATTAGAGGATTTGGTGGTAAAAAATGTACTTTTGTTTGACTCTGATTGCAGATTTTTGATTCAGTTCAAAGGAACACTAAATATATCAGCATATTTCTTCTTGATAAAATAATTTCCAAAAAACTAGGGGAAGTCTTACTAAAATTATCCAATTAAAAAATTTTTTTTCCTTAATGAACCATTTAAAATCCTTTGTGTTTCGTTGGTGAAGTGACGAATTGAATATTTAAGTTTAACATTTTATATTATTAATAAATGTGAACAGCTACTAAAGCTTGGTGATAATCGCGAAAATCCGGAGATATTAGAAATTCTCCTGAAAGAATTATGTCCAGAAATCGTTAGAATGCTAAGCAAAGCTATCCCACCGGAAAACTCCGCTTCCTATTTGAATAACCTCGGAACAAAACTCTGGAAATTTATTAACGATCAAAATATGGGTATAATAACTTTAATAAATTAGTTAGTAGGATGATTCGTTTCTTAGAAAATTATAATTTAATTTGAGGAAAAATATTGCAAAATTTAAAAAACAAATTTTTTTGATCTATAGAAGCATATTTCCTCTTTTACAACTTATTATAAACACCCTAAAAATCGTATAAGAAAATATATTTATTTTAAAAATTATACATCTTCTAACCTCTCAACTTTCCCCATTTATAAAAGGTTTAAACTCCTCACCCGCGCCTAAAATATTTCAGAATTTGATAAACGCCCTTCAAAAACATAGTTTCGACGGTGTCCCAGTTAACGCGTCGGGTATAGAAATTGAGAACGAGACTCACCAATTCGCGCTCGTCAACGCTTTCATTTGCGGATTACTCAAGTATTTGACTTAGTTAAAATATAAACGTGAATTTTAAAAAAATAAATATATTTTATTTTAATTTTTTTAAAAAAAAAAAGTCTCCGACATTTGGGAGTATGGTTGCGAACGATTGACCGAAAAATTGGGGGATTCTTGGAATTAGAAGAAAGCGCGTTAGATTTGATAGACCTTTTACGATACCTTCCATTCCGTTTGTACATCCCTTCAGTAATTCACATCTGTTTACGATCAGCTGATCAAAACAATCTACTAGTGTCTGGATTGGGAAAGCGAGAAAAGGTGGATGATTCGAACGCCACGACAACAAGTATTAAGTATGGCGGAAAGGATCACTTTGAAACTGCCCTCCAGGATTCCCGTCTTGGGTAAAGGTGGCCTCCATTTAAAATTAGTCAAAAGCGTTGATTCTTACGCTAAAAAAAATAATAGCGACACCATAATAAACAATAAAATGGCTAGCAACAATATTGGGGTTGATAACGGTATCAATGTGCTCCATTCCGCTCCTAATACGCCTACGCACGCTCCGACGAGTGAAGGAGACTATGGGGCGGGGCTTAGGTTCAAGAATAAGTACGAAAATATCCGTAGAAAATCTAATAACTTGGATAAGCTGAGCAGCGTTGGCGGCAGAACAAATCCCGCCAAATTAAATAATAAAGGAACGCGAGTTACTGATAAAGAGGTTAATCATCGATTAGCGACTAATAAATCCAAGGAAAAACATCCGAAGATAGATTATAATAACAATACTAAACCTACCCCTTCATCGCTAGTTAGCAAATATTTCCCAAAAATTATCCTATCCCCAACAAATAAAAGCTCCAAGAAGTCTGGCGTTGACACGCCCACGAACGTTGATGGGAATTGCGGCAAATCGCTTAAATTCCTGACCTCCTCCAAAAAAATTATTGCAACCGGTGATAAAAGTAAGTTTCAACAACAACTCACTGCCAAAGCTATCAATTTACCTCCAAGTCCGAAATTAAGCCGCGATAAATTAAACGCCGCCTCTCCATCCCTTCCCACCACTATAATGATCACTTACAACCAGAGTAGCGACTTTTCGACGACATTGGAAAATAACGGCTGCTCTTCTTACCCAAACACTGAAGTTTACAGTCCTCCTCAAAATCTTAAAATGGCCAAAAACGATCCAACAATTAGCAGCATCGGCTCTAAAAATTCGTTTAATTGCAGGTTGTACGAGACATACCTGCCCAATTTGACTAAAAGGATCAGGGAAGACCTTAAGAACCGTTTTCTAAAACCTAACGTTCGTAATGTTAATAGCGAAATAATGGCGCAGGCCATAGTTGACAAACCAATGGAAAGTGTTCGAACAGACACCTCATGTTTAAATGATAGCTCTGTGGTAGCGGGACAAAATTCGGAATCAGTTCAACAAGAAATCCACTACGTTTCGCGAAAATCTACCTTTTCTATCAATAATCACAATCACGACAACGCGTCTTTGAATGAGGGGGAGGCGAAATTAGAGGATCTCAAGCATAATAATATAACCTATTCGGGTAAAACAAGTTCTTCCGAAAGCGGGATTGGCAGCAGCGATGCGGCTATTCCTACGGAATCCGTTTGAATTATATTAAACATCCTTGTTAACAATTTACGCTTAATTTTTTCGTAACAAATATACATGTTTCTAAATAATAATAATATCAAATTTATATTTAAAAATAATTTTTCTACATAATTTCATGATTCAATTTTATTTTTTGTATAACCTTTTTATTTATTTATTTTTTTTAAATACACAGAAATATATATTTTTTAAATAAAATTTAAAAAAAAAAAATTATATTACTTTGGATTTCAACTGTTATAATTATACAATTTTAGAAACTTTACTATTTACATTTCTCTCATTTATTTTCTATCTTTCTTCCCTTCATTCTTTTTTTCTTTCTTCCTTCCGTCCTTCTTTCCTTTTGTGAAGGAATAAAACTATACCAGAGCAAAAAAAATATAATTTTATTTCCAATATATTAAAAATATAATATTTAAAAAAAATAATATAAATAATGTTTTGCATAATTTATAATATAAATATTATAGGAGATAAGGCATAATAGTTGGTTTGATTCTCGTGTTAATACAATTTTTAATATTATGATTTATATTTATTAAGTAGCAAAATATCAATTTTATTTTCAAAATTATTTAAAAAAGGATTATGCGTTCATTTTTGTGGTGGTATTATAAAAATCAATTAATTTTTTTTATATATAAAAAATATTAGAAATCTTTTCTTCATCTAATTTCCTATTTTTTTTGTAGTTCTCATGGGGTAAGAATTATCTTGATTTATTATTATCTTTTTTGAGCATGGCTTTATCATATAAACAATATTTGGTGCATTATAAAAATTATGGGATGGTGGAATAATGATGGATTTAAGTGGGGGAATAAAGAATTGAGAATAGAAAAATAATAATTTTGTTTAATGAGTAAAAAAAATGAAGGCTGACTATCAAAAAAATATATATGGGTGAGGGAGGATTAAGAGATGGTGGCCATTTTTCGGGCTACTATCGTAACTTTCCCGTCCGGTAGCGATTTGACAAAATTCCAAGCTTGAAAATGAGTCATGTGTTCGGTGTTCTGGTCGTTGACCATTAAAATCTCGTCCCCCGTGCTTAATAGACCGCACCTATCGAGAGTTCCACCTAAAAAAAAAATTATTTTGTGTTTCGAGTTAAAGCGTTAGATCTTAATCATCCCCTTTACAGATTTTCCGAAATCGCAAAGTTTTGAAAAGTAAAGTAAAATAAAATAAATGGAGAAAAGAATAAAAAGAATGAACGAAGAAAAAACGTTGAAGAGAAGGAGTAAAAAAAAAGAAATGAAGGATAAAAAAAAAACCTTTAAAAACTCGTTTGATAGTTATAGGCTTATCTCCGAATAGGGAGGCTCGACCGCCTTCTAGCGAAAAGCCGAGCCCACACGAGGCGGTATTTTCTAACTCGATTTTGATAACTTCGGAGGGAACGCCGGGTTCGCATTTTAGCGCGCATTCATCTACGAAATCAGCTGGTCGTCCTTCTTTACCCCCTAAAAATCGGGCGATCAAATTTAATTATATAAATTAAAAATATAGGTTAACCCATTTTTAAACCTAAAATGTCTTCTTCTACGAGTAACTTTTCGTCGCCACCTATGGTTGTCGAGAGGCCAAAATTATCCGTTTTTTCGTGGGAATTTTTGCTGGGTGGATTTAGGAGATGGTTCTGGTCGAGACGATGTCTGTCACTGGTAATTGACGTGACAGCGTCGGTTAAGCGCGTAAGAGAACACGAACCTGTCTTTGGGCGGGATATAACTAATACTACCTAAAAAAAAAACCAAATAAATTTCCAATCTCTTATTATTAAAGCTAACTTCGGGTCTAGGAGCCTTTAGGAATTCGACGCTTTGTCGATGTGTCAAGTTGTGCATAGCCTTCCCATTTATAGATAAAACTCTGTCACCTTTTTGAGCTCGGCCATCTTTTTCAGCCACGCTCCCGCTTATCACTTTGTGTATCTGGCGGAAGTAAAAAAATATATCAATAAAAAAACAAATAATCAGGTGACATTAATTTTAGTTTTCTAAATTCCATTTCCGTCTGCTTTCATCGGCGTTAAAAAAATTCTATTACCCGAATTTCCTTTTGTTCTTGGTCCACGCCTCCCGCCAGCGTTATACCTATTCCCCCGCCCATGTGTTCGCGATGGAGAATCAAAACATCGACAAAATGGTCGCTCGATCCCGATTGGTCCAGGCTTTGATTGGCTTCTTCAATCAGCTGCTGTAATTCCTGTCAAATATAAAAAAAAATAATAAAGTCGTAAATTACGATCTCTCGGTTTCAAAAAAAAATTCTACAATATTTGGCAATGCTAAATTATAAGTTAACACCGCATATTTTAATTTGTTTTATAAGATTCACAACGATTAGCGACGGATTATAAGGAAGGCCCGATTCGGGTCTCAAATCAGCTGTTTAAAGGCTCGGCCCATAATACCCCGTTCTTAGGGTTTGTGAACGGAAGTTAAAAAATAAATAAATAAATTACGTATGGTGACAGGTAACTAGTGGAGGAAGCCAAGGATACGATCGAAGTGAGGCTTGCTATAGAACCTCTCGATTCTGACCTGGGTTTTTTGTAAAAAAAATAATAATAAAAAATCTAAGTAAACTTTCTAATATAAATTTAAACATATGCTTATTTAAAATAAAAAAAAGTACACAAATCTTGAAGAGAGATTGGTTAGTTTGTAAAGACGTGATTGGTTCAATTACAACCGTAAACGTTCCAATTGGAGAGTTAAGTTGGTTTAATTTTTTATTTTATCTCAAGTCAAGAATTAAGTTTAGAAAAAATTAGTCGCACTAAGGATCGAACCCAGGTTGAAGCGCATAGGGGGGGGGGGATCCTGAATCACGTGCTGAACCACGCGTGCTATTTTGAATAACCTACGGCAGTGGTGATCCCAACAGTTAAAGCATATACATATATATATATCAGAAACTTGCTGGTCAAACCTGGAATCCGGTGTGGGGTTATGATTTTAAATATCCTGGCTAGGGACTTAAAATTTTAAAAACGAATATATAAGAATGAATCACACCATTTGATAGTCGGGAAATAATAAAATGAGTAGCCTTTAATATTCAATATTCATTTTTTTACTGCTTATATTTTATTTTAATTACGTACGCAAAATACCGGCCATAATTATTAGAAATAACGAATTTTTTTAAAAAAAATTCCGGTCAGGGCCGTAAAGAATTTCATCGGGGCATGTTCGGACCGGCCTTAATTTTTGATATTTCTGCAATGTCGCTAATAAATGTAAAGCACGTTAAATTTGTCAAAAGAGGCCAAGTCCTATATTGTCCTTTCTTTTTTTTTCATTTTAGAAATCGATAAGTGTCAAGTGTCCGAATGGTCGTTAGATTTTATAAAAAGATGCCCAAGCTTGATTGGCTGAATGGGATTCAAAATTAACACAAAAAAAAAATCTATGACGAGCTAGGACGTGTCCCTCATATTTATTTTTCACATAGTACAACACGATACATTTTGTATCGGGATAAATTAATCAATCAATCAAATCCATAGCCAACTCCTCTCGTATGCTTTAATCAAAGACGCCGATTAAAACAAATTAAGTTTCGGTCATTCATTTCAAAATGGAGGGATATGCCTTCATTTCAGCGATAGCGACAGGCGTCATCTTAAAATTCGTAGCTCAGATAAAGATTTATCGGGGATATTAGCCATCCCCAATGTCGTCGTGAACTATACACTACAGTTAAAGAGAGTCGTTCGTTTACAAGTGCATTTTTATAAAATTTACTAACCCAAAAAATTATAGCCATTTATATTTATAAATATATATTATCTTTAGTGTCAGAGAATAGTTTTCTGGAAAGCATAATAAGTTGCGCAGTAACATCCGGTGCAAAAATGACTTAAAATTCAGGGATTCTGTTAAGAAGATAGGAAAAACATATAACCCAAATTATGATCAAGTAGAAGAAGTAATTTTTAGCTTGTAAAAGGCTTAATTTAGCAAATTATATGCTCTCTCACCCAACTAAAATCTGGTGAAAATAAAAATTATTATAAAAATATATTAATAAAGTTCTGGTGCTAATGCTCTTAACATAAAAAGTAGGAATCTTCCAATATGTTGAACAATGAACAATATTTGAGGTTAAAAGAAAAATGTTTATGATATTACCAAATTTTCTGAGTCAAGTTTTAAATTGATCATGACAGACAAATGTAAAATTATCTAAAAGACAAAACTAGAAAATATTTTTTTATCTTAGGAATCTAGCCACTTAGGAACAGTATTTATCTTATATCTTGTATATAAAATTAATATGCATCATACATTAATGATAAATACTGGGCAAAATATGTCTATTGATTCTTTTGATGATACTGTAATTTCTGCACACATTATATAACTATTAACTTGTTAAATTTAGCCTTTACAAGCTATTCCTCAAACTTGATCACAATTCGGGTTATTTGCTGTTCCAATTTCCTCCCAAATTTTTTTCCTATCTTCTTAACAAAATCTCTAAATTTTGAGTCATTTTTGCACCAGAGGTTCCACTACAACTCTCATCCTTTCCAGAAAACTATTTTCTGACACTAAAAAAAAATGGGCAGTTATCATTTAAAAATTGTTCAGCAACGACTTACATGTATTAAGACATTATTAAAAAATAAATTGTTAAATGAGTCTTTTTTATCTTAATGTTACATACTAACCAATCAAAGCTGCAGAGGTACACCAATCAGAGACCTGCAGAGGTACCGTTTGTACGGCCCGGCCCGAATTTTTTTAAATTATATTTTTTTTATTTTTGATATTTACAGCTAATAATGGCGATTTTAAATATTTGGTTTCAAAATATACGGCCCGGTACGATCCGGCCCGGGTTTTAAAAAAATCCGGTCCGGGCCGGGCCTGCAAGTCTCTGCTAACAACTAAGATCCTCACAAATTCCTATCCTATTTAATTTTTATTAATTTTTTTTTGAAATATATAAACTAAATAAACACTTGTTAAAATTTTTATATAAATTGATGAAATAAATGATATAGGACAATGTTTTATTTTTACATTAAAAATAGCTTAAGTTAATTTTTTCCTTAAAAATTTATTTTTTTATAGATTTTTTCTTAGATTTTTGGAACGCAGCCCTAAACTGCCAAAAAGATTATTGGCGGTAAAAATGCCAAGTGATTCGTAAATGAATTTTGAATAACTATTTTAGTTGAGTTGATTTTTTTTTTGATTTAAATCATTTATTTAATTCAAACAGAAACAGATTTTTATATTTCAACACTCTGATACACACATACATATGCGAAAACCGAATATTTAGGTCGAGGACCAGATGGTCTTGACTATTATCCTTTGGTTTAGAGAGAGAAAAAAACTGATTGGCCCATTTGAATAATGTAGTAAATTAAGATTATATATCTTAAATATTGTTTTAATATTTATCTTGGAATTTAAAGTTGGCCCACGTCAGGTGATTTAACAGAATCGCTGAAGATAATTCTTTTACAAAAATTATAAAAATAAGCTCTCCCCCTCTCCGCGGAAAAAATATGAACGGGAATTATTTTCCGCTCACAGCTGATGATGAAACGTCTACCTAACACAAATCAATTCGATTTTCGTTCCTCCTACCCTTAATAACCCATTTTTTCTTTACCTGCTGATGAGAACTTGCTGACTTGCATTGCCAAGGTTCTTGCCCGAAAAGGAACCGGAGAGACTCATACTACCGCCGCCATTATGATTATTGCATGAAACGGGAGTCGACGAGTAAGAACACATAAAATGGCCGCGTCCCGAGTTCTTGGAAAGGTTAAACGGGTTTGGCATCGTGACAGAGGTCTGCTATATGGAAGATATTTAATAAACAAAACATATTTGAATTGATAATATTAAGTTCGGTATAATATAAAAAAAAATTCTACATTTTGGTTTCGGTGTTTTGAACCGATTTTTAATTAAAGAAACGCGAGTTAACCACCCCGTTCATTCGAAAATTTGAGCCTATCCAGGTACGGGACTAAAAATGTGATATATTCGGGCTGGGGCGAAAAATCGAAAAAATAAAAGAAATAACCCCATCCAAACGTTCGTCGCCAGACCCGTGCCGAGATTTGTTACCGTCGAAAAAGAGAGATCGAAAAGGGGCGGGAACTGGGGACATTTGCTGGGAGGAGTCGGAGGAGGAAGATAATTGGCTGTCGGTGTTTCGTCCGTAAAAATGGTCGTCGTCACGCGCGCAAAGACGGGCTTCTTGGTCTTCCGTATTTTCGATATTGCGCAGGTGAACGGGAGCGGCCGTGGAAGCAACTTTATATATATACAAATAATAAAATCATTTGTAAAATGACATCATGCCATTCATGAGATGTTCTAAACAAAACTATATTTTTAAAAAAAAAATGTAATCAAAGAGCCAACCTATTAAAAGTAAGGAACTAAATGAGGAAGATGAGGACGCCGTCGAATCATTGGAGTTTTGACGCGCGTGCGCGGGGTAACTGTTATCGATATAAGGATCTTCTGATTGGTAGTTGGGCATTTGATCGTGAGGAGTTGTCAGGCACTGGTCAGAATCGGCGATTTCCATTACTAGGTTCTTTTTTTAATTTATTTTTTATATTTTTCTTAGTTTTTTTTCCTTCTTTCTCTTTCTATTCAATCTATGATACTTTAAATAATCATGTTCGCTTCAACTTTTTAATAGAATAAATTTTTATACTTGTTCTTTTGGTGGGGTAGGTGTGACAGCGTTATCGTAATCGACTGAATTGCGGGCGGCTTGATGTACGGTAAAGGGCGTGTCGAGAATTTCGGCGATTCGTGGTCGACGAGAGGAGCAATCGTAACCTTTTCCTTCGTCGTGATTGGTTAGAAAATTGTCGCTGGCATTACCGTTGAACCTAAACGCGTTGGTAGATGGGGCATCGAAATCGGTGAAATGAGAAACACTGTCACGAACAGCAGCCGTTAAATCGCGGCCATTTTTAAAACTATAGTATTTGTCGTCATTTTTCTTCGATTTGTCACCGGATATATTTTTAGCTGTGTCCGAGGGAATAGTCCCATCTGTAATGTCAGGAAGGTATAAATTTTGGAATTTTCTGGAAAAATTATCAAGCTTTTTATCTTTTCCAATTTTTTCACTGCCATCAGGATTCGTGAATAATCCATTAACGTCAAAAGATTTCGTGCTGCTACTCGATGCGGAATTATCCTCGCCGACTTTTCCGTCGCAGCTATTTTTGCGTCTCAGTCCGGCTAGACCAAATTTAGTGTCATCATAAACTTCGATCATTTGACCGCCGGTACCGCTACTATCATGGCAGATGTTCTGGCAAGTAGGCGATGTCACATGACTGGCGGTAGATTGATTGGGGGAGTGGCCAGCCGTTTTGACTGAACATCGGCGCGGGTCTGATATAACTACCGGCGACTGGCCATGATTGGAATTGTTGACATGGGATGAGGGGGGAGAGAAATGAGGAGGGAAATGATTGACATTGTTGTTGACGTGGGAGGAAGCAAAGGAATTTGACGAATGATTGGCATTGATGTTGACGTGGGAGGACGCCGAGAAATTTGAAGTATGATTGGCATTGCTGTTGATGTTGGAGGAAGCATAGAAATTCGAAGGATGATTGACATTGTTGTTGGCGTGAAAGGAGGAGGTAAAATGAGTAGGGAAATTATTGGAGTTATTATTGATGTGGGGAGAAGAGACGGAAGTTAAATGTGGAGGGGGGTGATTGGCACTTCCGTGAGACCCCGAAAACATGGCAATCAAGGAATTGACCTTTTTAGGGTTCGAAACGGTAGTCATATTAGCTGGAGCTGTTCGATCGGTTTTTTGTCGATGTTCTAGAGGCGACTTATCTCCCCCAAAAAATGCGGAACGATTAGGTTCACCGCAAGATCCCGCCTTCGATAAACTAGGGTGGCACGAGGATTTGTTGGAGGATATAGATGGTAGGGTGGAAAAATCGCGGTAAAAATTTTGGATATTGGCGGTATTTTGAAGCTTATGTTGCTGCTGAAGTGGGGACTGTTTGGAAGGATCGAATTCTTTTCCCGTGCGCGCCAAATCTTCGAAGTGAAAATATTTGGCGCGATTCGAAAAGTCTATCGCGTTATCTTCCGTCATGACCATTATCGGGGCGGGTAATAATCAACGCGAATTCCCGATAAGAAGTTCGAAGTTTTGTTTTTATTTTTCCTGAAAATAATTATATCATCTGTAAATTAAATTTTGAAATAATTAGACAGGGAAATGCAATACAAACCGGGTCCGACAGTGGTATGATTTTTAAAATCCGGGACCGAAATATCTATAATTAACCAGCTGATAAAATCGCGTCGCGAGATATGTAAAATTTAATGTTCTCATTTTTCGCCGATTTTTTTTAAAGAATTTTTTATCAAAACCCGGGTCGTACATTTTAATAACCCGCCGGACCGGATAATAACAAGATCACAAGGGGAAAGATTATATCGGATTTCAATTTTAAAAGGTATCAGATAATTCGGTTAAAATTCTAACCGAGAGATTTGTCGCTAGAACATCCTAAGACTTGGAGTAATTACATTTTGATCCGCTATTGTGGGGTGGCAGTTATGAGAACAATTGAATTCTGATATACCAATACCTTCGATCCATCATTCCAACCCTCCCTACATCCATCCTATTTCGTAATTGACAACTGTAACAGGTTAAAGAGGCGCCAGTGGTCTCTGTAGACCACCCTCTTTACTGGGCTGCTTAACCCCTCTCTTGACAAAAGTTGGAAGGGAGGGGGAGGGGTGATCGTGCTAGGCCCAACCAGAATTTGGGACAAAAATTATAGTAATGGTTGTCTAACGAACTTAATTATTAATTTACGGGTAACATTATGGTGGATATGCTTTCGTAAAGTCGTTTGAAAAAAATGATGGGTAGTTTAAACTTTGACGTAGAAAGCGTCGTTGAATGCGAATCAGCTGGAGCCGCCATTTTGGTAACCCATATCAGTATTTAAAAAAACCACCATTAAATTGACAACTTGTTCAGGCGATTCTTTGTTAAACGTCAGACTTGAGAAAAAATTAGCTTCTCGTTTAAAAATTTTAATAATGATATGGGTAATCAAAATGGCTTCCCCAGCTGTTTTTCGTTGATGTACACTTTTAATGGACGCATCGTCAGTCCAAGTATTATTATTATTATTATGTCGTTGAGTTTAAATTAAATTAGAGCCCCATAAAATAAATATTTCCCGTTCCGATCTAGGCCTGCTCCACGTGATCGATTGCGGTAAGCGGTACGATTTTTTTTTTAAACCTCGAAATCAAAATATTTAATTATCTTAAAATTTCGCGCGTTAAAATCTAAATACTCAGCAAATAACTTCGATAATTTCAACGATGTTTTATCTAATCTTATTTTTATTAAATTACAAAATTTTTGAAATTCTTAAAATTTTTAAAAAAATAATAACTTAGGTCAACAAAAAAAAAATGAAAGAATAAAGGAAAATGAAATGTAACATCGCTTTTTTTTTAAACTTCGGTTCTGAAAGAACCGGAAATGCACCGCGGTATTCTAGTTTAAATAGATAAAAAAAAAATTCGGAGCTAAATTAAGTCCTAAAAAATGTTTTCGCTCTATTATGCTAGTGATTCACAAGGCCCAACCCGATGACCCCCTACTCGAGCTCCGAATTTACTTCGGTCTTAGGTGAGCCTAATTACTGAAAATAATTTCGAGTCGGGCTATGACAACGGGCATTTTCGGACCGGGTTTTCTAGTGTATAAACGTCTTTTTTTTATAAAAAAAAAGCCCTAAAATTAAAAAAGTGACAAATAATTTTTAAAAAAAATACAAATAATATAGAACAATTTGAAATTTAATTAGACAAATATTTTAACAAATTGTTATAAATGTGAGGATAGAAAGAAAGAAAGAAATAAAAGTGTAAAAGGTGGTTAAGGATAGTTAAAAAATAGTCTAATTTTTATTATTTTTTCTCTTTAGCTTTCACCTTTTCTGGTGGTAAGCTCCTCCAATATCTCTTTCCACTTTATGTTATTCCTGCTATCTCTCTTTTATCTAATTTATACTTATTCATATTGGCTCTAACTTTAGGCCCCCATTGAAGATTTTGGCCTTCCTCCTTTACGTTCGCCCATCACTTCCAAACTTTCAACCTTATTTTCCTAATGTAGTTCATAGACCTTCTCATTGTATGCCCATACCACCTAAGCCTGTTTACTTTACCATTATCTGAGTCTTGATGGGCACTCCCTTTAAACTTCCTAGGATTAGTCTAATACCGCGCACAAATTGAACGTTTCAAAACGCAAATAATGCATTTTAAATGCGTTCGTTTAAATTTTGGACGACATTTTTTTTTTGTTTTAAATTTAGTCGTTTTATATTTTAAAAATAATAATAATTAACGGTTCAATTTAAAAACTTAGTCGCGTTTAACGTTTTTAATTTGCGTTTTGAAACGACGCGTTAAAAACGCTCGATTTGTGGGCACCATAAGGAAAATCAAAAATTTTGCCAAAATAAGTTATTATTGACACTCTATAAAAAAAAAAATTTTTTTGGGGGCATAATCTTAATTTATTTACATTTTTTTTTATTACTACCCATTTTATCGAATCAAGATAAAAAATATAATGACCTGTCTTTCAAAAAATGACATATCTGGGCATCAAGTTAAAACCATATGTCTCGAAAAATGTATCATTTTTTATTTCAAAGTACGCGAAATATTTGCTTGCTCGAATAAAGGCGTTAAAATTAAACCTTTAAACAAAAATGATTGGTTGAGTCGTCCGTGAATACCATTGGAGGGTTTAAAAAAAATACGGCGCCTTTGATGAGGGTTCATACATAGGAAACTCTAATGCGAAACGCTTAGAGAATATGATGTAATCGGGGAAACTATCGAATATCAAATAGCGACTCATTTTTTGAAATTTAAATTCTCGAATAAGTTTACTCACCATCCTCGACTTTCTTTCCGGGAGCCGAGAAAAGGAGTTTAAAAAATGGCGGTTGCGTTACTTCCCCAATTTCATACATGCCGCAATAGTAGGATTAAGGGATTAAAGGTTATCTATCAAGCCCCAGTCCTTCCCCAATTTACCCCGGTTTGAGCCGGCGCGAAAACATGGCTCTGTCACATTTTTCAACGGTTATGGCGATGACGCGCTTCAAATCAATGACACATATAATGATACCCAGAATGACGATGCATTCGTTAAAAGTGTATACATCAATAAAAACAGCTGTGGACGCCATTTTGGTATCATTGTTAAAAAAATTTGCAAACTTTATTGAAAAGCGAGTTAATAAATTCAATAGTTAGTTTCTTAGCACGAGAATGATTACCGTGCGGGTTATCCAAAATGGCGGGTCCAGCTGATTCGCATTCCGCGACGCCTTCAAATGCGATAGCCAGTCTAGGAATCGTTATACGTCATCGCTTCAAAATATAACAAATTTTTATCTCCTCTTTAGTCACTTATTTATTCGATAAATTTTTTAAAAAAAAATCTCATTAGTCAAATTTTATTTAAATTTTCTTTTCTCTTCTCTTTTCCCTTTTTTCCTCGGTGAGACAAAGAATGCCCCAATTAGAAAATATATATTTTTTTATTTTTATAATTACTTAATTTGAATAGTAATTTAAAAAAAATTAAAAACAATTTTAATAAATATCCTAAATCATCATAACCACACGTATCACTTTTTATATTTTTTTTTTCAAAAGTCGGTATTTAAATAAGCCTTTTTTTTTAAAAAAAAAAGAGAAAACAATAATTATGCTAATTCACTTTTCCTCGAGGAATGTAAATATAAAATTACGAGTGCTTTTTCCTAACTCCTTGAAATATCGGTATATAAATATGTGTGTGTGTGTGTATCATTAAAGAGAGAATTGGAGATTAAAAATTTTTAGCGGGTCTTGAGCAGCCGGATTTATATTTTTTTTAGCGGAGGTGCGCGGTCCGAAGACCGATACGTAAAGATTTATTTGTCCCTTAATCTCATTTCCGGAAAATATTACATTCCAATTATCGCTTTTGGCGCAAAACTTTCAAAATAATATTTTTTTTTTCAAATGCTTCTAGCTTGACTTGCAAGTAAGTGCTGTTAAATGCCATGATCTGAGCCCATTTTTAAAAACGGCTAGACTCGATATAGCAGAAAATCTTCAGCTTGCCTAAGATTTTTCTGGATAAACCATTGGAGTCATCCGTTTTTTAAAAATCGGCTCGAATCGTGCCGTTTAACAACACATCCTTGCGAGGTTTTCCATATAATAACGCCAATTAAAATTTGCCAAGGAAGGATAAATCTTCTCACCCATTAAATATTTTGACCTTTTTTTTAAAAAAAAAATTCACTGGCTATCAGTATAAACATATGTGTGCAAGCAGTGATCCAAAATGCCGCTCAGTTTTTAGGTATCGTATCTAAGGAAATCTTCATTTATGGGTGGGTGGTTATTCAAATTAGTGATCTGAATCGGTCATAATTTAAGCCCAAACCGGGCCCAAATTTTTTAAATTGACCCAGCTCGGGCCGAACCGTGATTTGCAGACCCCTAATTCGAATGACGAATCGATCGGAGATCTTTTGATCAAAGCGAATAAAACTTTGTATGATAATTACAGAGAATCCGAGCCTTAAAGCTCTAACTTGAATGAACCCAGAGTTATGAGCTCTACGAGTCAAATACAAATGCAATCTTGGTTTTAAGAATGGCTATTGATAAATATTCAATCAGAATATATATATTATATAAAAAAAATTTGCAGCAAGAAAATTATTTTTTTATAAAATTTTTCTGTCCCCATTTCTGGTAAAACAAAAACGAGTTATTTTGAAAGCTAGTTCCATTTTGGGACAATGAAATTTTACCAGATATTTTTTATTATCGATATCATTTAAATAATTAAGTAAAAAAATAAGAGTAAGAATAAAAGAAACAAATATAGATGGGACATTATCTTTTTAAATATTACATTTTTGATTAAAGACATAAAATATTAAATATTCCGGAAGATAAAAAATTCTAAAATTTTCTCAAGACCACTATAAAAGGTTCTGGTTTCTAAATCTGATTCAGCTCCTGTTTCTAAATTTATACTAGTTCTGAATGTTCTGGATCAAAGTGTCTAAAATAGACTCAGTTTCGAGATTTCTTATTCATAAATTTGTCCCTGTTTCTAAACTTACCCGGGCTCTGGAGGTTCCCGTGCAGAATCCAAATTCTAGGTTTAATATTTCAAATAAAAGGCATTAGACCCTAAGCTAGAAAAAAATATATATTATAATCACAAAGAAAGAAAAATAAACAAAAAAAACGTCTTTACTGAATGAGATATGGAACCAAAAAAATTCCAATCCTCAGATTAGTGGAATTAAGAAGCTAAGATAGGCTGAATTTTATAAATAGTAGGAATATTTTTAGTTGGTTTTTTTTAAGATGTGATTGATTCTAATTTTTTTATCTAAGAATTGTAAGAATTCGATTAAAAACATTCAAAATTATGTTAAAAAATATTCGGACCAAAAATTATATTTTTTAAATAAAGTAGAAAATTGTCATATGAAGTTCAAGGTTTGTTCAACAGAAGAAAAAGATATATTCAATTTTATGATTTTTTTCATAATATGGAAGTCACAAATTTTAATTCTAATTTAAAACTCAAGATATTTACATCTATCCATTCTTAAACCAATACTTTCTATACCTTACTGGCAACAATACAAAAAAAGTTTCAAAATATAAAATTTACTTATCAAAATTTCCTGAAAAAATTTATCAAGAATAATTATGCCACGCTCGAAGTGAAGGGTGAAGAGAAAAGATCATGTTAATAAGTGAATTCATATTTTACTGGTGGATTGATTTAGAATCAACAAAAATTGTAAACTTTTGTTGTTTTTCTTACAAATGCTCACTCAATTTTAATAACTTTGGTCATTACAAAAAAAACTACCTTTCGTGTTTTGACTGCCAAAAGAAATGGTTATTTTTATATATTTAAAAAAAAAAAAAATTGATTATCAGTTATGACCTTGAAATTCCATTTTTTTTCAAAAAAAAATAAAAAATTTTTGTTTGTTTTAGCAAAAAAATAAAATAAAATACCTTTATTTTATAATCTTTTATAAAATAATTTTTTAAAAAAGAAAGAAAAGATAGATTAAATGAGGTTCAAGATATCGTGTTTCAGCAAATACTTTAATAGAATTTTCCCTTATGGTGATACCTTCATATCTTTTTTCCAAAGATAGGTATAGTAAAGAAAAATTTGTCTACTTTTACTAATTCTTGCTGTAAATAAATTTTTTCATCTATATTAAAAGGCATTTGAGCCAATTATTAAAAACAGCTAAACCAACTTATAGATGTCTAAACTTTGTGCCATCTATAAGCAAACTTTAGACTAGTGTATTACTCTACTGAATAAAATATTGAGTTAGCCATTTTTAAAATTTAGCTCAAAATGACCCGTTTAACAACACTACTCTTCAAGCTTGATAATTCAGGAACCTCCAAATTTGAACTTTTTTATTTTATACTTATCTGACTATATGTAATTATAAATTTTTAGACAAATTATTATTTAATTGATGAAATAAAACATATTGTTGATATTGCAAAAAAAAAATTCATTCATTTCTAGGAAGCAATTAAATTTTTTATAAATTTTAAAAATTCTAAAATCTGATTGGCTATAACAAATTAGATATCATATGGGTGTTAGACAAAGGTCTCCAGATGGCCATTAAGATCTTATTTAAAATGAATAATATAATGGCTTAAATTTAAGGAACAAAGTGAAATTCTATAATTATGCATAATGACAAACTACAATACCTAATTAAATTTTTTTTAAAATATTTTATATTTTAAATATAAATAACTAATAATTTAATTAATTAATATATAAATTGATCATATATAAGGTTATAAAATTTATTATTGGAGATTTATAAATTTTTCAACTCTTTATATTGAGCTTATCTTAATAATCTTATTTTTAAATCTAAATAAATATTCTTTTAGGTGAAATAAAAAAAAATGATAACAAGATATTATATATAATCTTTATTTAAAAATTTCAGAAAAAATTAAATTTTGTATATTATAACATAGTAATTGTAAAAATTTTAATTAGATTACCTTAGGATTAATAATTGACAATAGGTTTATATACATTCCAATGTCTTCAGATTTTAAAGAATCTAGGTTAATTTTGTATAGGTAGATGTTGAAAGTTAGAAAAAATAATTTTACAAAATATCGAATTTATTTTGATATATTAGTTCATAAAAATTATATGTAAAAATTTGCGAAAAAATAATGATAATGCTTTAAATATAAATACTATGTTAAAATTTAAGTTAAATACAAGATATTAATATCAAAAAAATCAAAAATATAGTAATTTTATTTATAAAATTATTTTTGATATAATTATTGCTTTTTAAAATGAAAAATTTAAATTAAAATTTTGAAAAAATATACAACAAACAACATATATAATGAGGAAAGGGAAGTAAATACTTATAATTTATCTTTGAATCTCGTACTTACTTCTTTGTTATAAATTTAGAGAATTCTAAGATATCAGAATTTCTTATAGAAGGAAATTAGATAACACTAGACGCATCACAGCGGGCCCCTTTATCCCCTTTCTACGTTGTTATGGGCATGCCAAAAAGGCATTTGCAATTATAATTTAAAACTAAAGGCCAGCCCCAAACTATTGGGAAAACAGGCGGAATTTTAAAAAATTTATGATTGACATGCCGCTAAATGCTTCCGCTGGTTTAAGGGAGGAGAAATCATGTCTACCTACGGGGTCTACTTATTTGCTATAGACAACGTAATTAACAATAATGTCTAGCCTATGCCTAAATACTGTTCAGGAACTTGCCATTCGTAAATAAAATCTTCTTTGTTTAAATTTTTTAACCTTTTCAACAATAGGGATCAAATTTTATATTAAAAATTCACATGTATTCCAACCATATTATTCATTGATAAGTAATATAATGGTTAATTAATTTTTAATTGTGATTGCATACTCTGAATCATCTAAATATGTTAAGAATTTTTATCATAATTTTTTGAGTCATATAAGGATAATAAATAAATCGTTCTGTTCTTATTAAATCGTTATGAAATGTAATGAGGATTGGAATTAGATATAATTTTTAGTATACTAAGGGATTAAATAAATTGTTTGTTTCATTTGCCAATTAATTTTACCATACATATGTATAAACAAATTAACACCTTTTAGCACCCCTTTTGTAAAAGGATAGCTCCTGCCTGATACAATTATTTGTCACAGATTACACACTAATACTTATCTCACACAATCGTTACAAAATTATAGGGAGAAACTTTATAACGATGGTAGATTCATATAAAATATAATTAATGTACAAATATTAGTCCAATCTATATAAAAACGCTCCATGCTTAAAAACGTATTATTGGGTTCAAGAGATGCCATATTATATTTATCACATTCGTCTTAGAAATTAGCTAATGTGAGATATAATATATATTTTACTCGTGCAAATAAATGCCAAAGAAAAATTCAAAACCATCTGAAACCAAAAGTAGTGGTAAAACAGCAACTACTAACACAAAAGGGGGAACCAAAATTAAAGTTAAATAATATGAGCATAATTTTATAAAAAGTAATTAAATTTTATATTTAAATTATTTTTATAAAAGGTGAGACACATTTTATGTGAGAAAGAATCCAAGATTAAAGAAGCCTTATCAAAGCTGCAAAATGGCATGAAGTTTAACGAAGTAGCAAGTTTGTATAGCGAGGATAAGGCTAGACAAGGAGTAAATATTTAATAGTTTCTAACATAATTTAATATTTTTGTGATATTTACTTTATAAATTATTTAACAGTGATGAATAGTTTACAAAATATGCATATTAATATATTATAAACATTTTTATAAAAATTTTTCTTGTAATGTTAATTTTAATATTTCTTAAAGCTTTTAAACATATTTTTAGACACAACCTTAGAAAAATATAATTATTTTAATATTAAATTTTTTTTTAGGGAGATTTAGGCTGGATGGTGAGAGGATCAATGGTTGGCCCTTTTCAGGAAGCCGCGTTTGCCCTGCCCATCAGCACTATAAATAGTCCTTCTTACACAAACCCCCCAATAAAGACCAATTTTGGCTATCATATAATAATGATTGAAGACAAGAAATAAAAAATAAAATGCTGCTATTCTGCTATCATTAATTATACTACCAATATTTTGATATAGGTGATACAAAATTGTATTTTAGTGTTGGAAAATTTCAAAAACAAAAAATTAAATCGAATTTATAAAAATCTTGTACATTATTGCATTTGCAAAAAAAAAATATCTCTATCATGCTGTAATTTTATTTGCTCATAAAACCAAATTGCTTTTCCAATTTGAGAATTAATTGCGACAATTTCTCTCATCAAAAAGTGGCATAGTGTATTAATTTCTAACAAATAGAATGTAATTGACAATAGTATATCAAATAGATAAATTGATTAGTTTTATATGTTATCATAACATTTTTATAAAAATTTATGATTTATTTTTATCGTGTTTAGCGTTTTTATAAATAATTTGATTTTAAAAATTGATAAATAAATATATTCTAATATTTAAGAACCCTTTGAAATTTGACAAAAATGTCAGGAAGAAGGGCACCTATTATGCTGTGAGAATAATTAAGAACAAAATTATAAAGTTTTATATAAAGAAGAATGAATAGAAAAGAATTTTAAAACTTTACAATAAATTTTTTTTTTTTTAAAAATGGAAGATTACTTTAAAATGTAAATGTCCTTTAACATTTTGTCATACCAAAAAACAAAAGTGGATAAAAGAAAAAAATAAAATGGAATGGGGGGTGGGAATATTGGAAGATTATAATTTATTAGCATCATGTGTTATTGGCTAAGAATTCGTTTAGATCGACGCATTGGCTTCCTCCAGGAAAATCCGGTAATTTTAGGTCGCATTTGCATTTCAGGCTTGGCGGTAAGAAGCGTCTAGAATTACGTTTAATCGATTTTAAAATATATTTACTAATTTATAATTCCATTCATTTTTTTATGGGTTCTGGTTCTAGGTTTTTTTTTAAAGAATGTTGGTATGCTCCCTAAAATTTTGAAAAGTTTGTTTTGGTTTTTAAATTTCTGCGATTCCAGATTTTGGTTACAAACTGTTACGAATTTTAAATGTGAGAAAATTTTGAAATTAAAAAAAATTTGATTTTGACCGGAAATGTACATAGCATCTACACTGTGAATTTTAAACAATTTTGCCCTAGAAAAATTTTAAGTATTCTTTAATGAATTTTTATATATAAATTTTATATTGGTAAAGTTTATGGTTAAAATTTGGAATTCAAATCAGATTTTTGAAATTTAAAAATCTACCCCCAGTATAGTGTTGTTAAAAAGTCGAGTTCACCCGACTCTGACTCAGAGTCTGAGTCGTTAGTCGACTCACTGAAGTCGTGAACTCAAGTCGTGGTAAACATTATAAAAACTTAGAGATTCCTAATCCCACTATGACGTATATACTGTTGCAATCTGTCCATATTTGATTATTTATTATATTTTAATACTTCAACCATGAATATAATATCCTGAAATTACAGAATACCCAATGACAGACAATATTACAATATAAACGAAAACGAATGTATGAAGAAAACTGTATTTTTCCGAATGTTATATAAAGGTATAATAATAATCCTTGATTGACAGCTTTTAACACTCTAACGTCAATCACAACATATAACCGGGTAGATCCGAAAAAAAGCGTCCCGTTTTGAAATCTTTATTTAGACTCGAAAACGCGTCACTCGTTTTTTTTATTTAAAGCAATATAATGTAACTTATAATCTCAATCAAAAACTTGAATCTTTTATTCCCCGAAAAACGGCCTAAATGGGTTTCCGCCTTGTTGGACTATAAATTGATCATTAGTTATAACCGCATAAACATGAACATACTTTAAAATTATATATAAATACAATTATAGAAATGAAAAAATATAATAACGAAATATTTCTTGGACCTGTCCCTCCCCCCCCCCCCCCCCTCATTCCTTTTTCTTGTATAACAGCTGACAATTTATTGATCCAGCTGATCGAACGTCATCGTGATTTTGATTATTCAAGTTGCTCTAAAAATTTTTAACGTCGCTCCACTTTCGATAATCCAGTGAAATTTAAATCAGAAAGGTTTAGCGGGCAAATTATTGTTGGATAAAGCGTAATGCAAGGAGGCGTTGCGTCTTGCGTAATTATTTTTTAATAAGCCGCCAAGGCTTTATCACTGGTAAACGTTCTTTCAGGTTTATGATATAAATTTCGGAATCGATCTCTATTCAATAATAATTTTTTTTATCAGGTTACAAGTACAAGATCCCTTTTTCGATAATAATTCCAATTTATCCAAAAATTATAGGCTTTTTATAATCAGATTTCGGTAGATAAATCTAAATATATAATTAAGAAGATTCTGAGAAAGAAGGCGAGAGGTGAGAATTAAAGCTTTTACCGCGGTAATTCCAGCTTCGTTAGCGTATATCAAAGTTGCTGCAGTTAAAAAGCTCGTAATCGGATCTCGGGTAACGGGAGGAAGCCCGTTTCATAGCGATGGTTTTATTGTCCGACTCTATAATTCGTCCCGCCTTAGATGCTCTTCGCCGATTCGCAATTTTTTTTTCACCTATCCTAGTATTCAAATTTCCTTTTAAAAAAAATGCTCGCCATTATTTCGATTTTTACTTCAAAAAAAAAATATAACCAGATAAAATTAGCAGCAGAGTTGTTAAAAGATACTTTTTAAATGGACCTAGATACAGATACATCTTCTAAAAAATTATCTAGATACAGATACAGCTTCTAAAAAGTTATCTTGATACAGATACAATTTCAGATACAATTTAAAATGTATCTAGGTACAGATACATTTTTTATTGTACTCTTAGATAAGGTTTGAATAAACCTAAATTAGGATTCTATTGTGCAAATTCATGAAATGATCTAAAAAATTTATTGACTCGATATTACATTTATCAAAATATAACTAAAATAATGATTTTTAGATATTAATATAATATATGATTAATATAAATAATTATTATATATCATTAATAAAATAATATATGATTAAATGATTATAAATAAATTTTAGATTTCAGTAACAAAATATTTTTAAAATTTTGGTCATTAAGACATCCTCGTTAGGGATTGTGGTGTTATATCTAATGAATAACATTTTTATATCAGAATATTGTTTAAAAATACTAAAATTTCGGCATTCATTTTAAAAAAAACTATTATAAATTTGTTGATTATCAGAATTTAAATCATTAACTAGGGATACTGAAAAAAATTGGATATTAAATTACTGGGTTTTTTTTCACAGGTTTATGATTCTGATATTCCAAAATCCTGAGTAGTAGTATAAAGATCTGATATTGATATTGGTGCAACTGTTTCTTCATCTTTCAGCTCATCAATGGATTCACTAATATTTTTAATTGGCTTGAAAACTCTGTCATAAATAAGTAATATTATGTTTATATTTATAATAAAATAAACCTAAAAGACTTAATAAAGTTTTTGGCATTATTAGTAATGAATGGTCTTTGAGATTTTATTTTGTATGCAATAATCCTTTGCTATATCTTGTAAATTTTTTGCTATTTTATCATATGTATGACTACTAGTCATTCTTTTACAAGCCAACGCTACATTTTCTTTCCTAACTTGTTGGATCTATATAGTGTGCAGTGACTCCTATGTATGAACTAAAAATTAACATTTCTTAAAACTGCTCAAATAATTTGTTTGTAATTAAATTATTATACAAATTTAAATGTTAGCTATACCGGCGATATGCACTCCAACAATCTGCTGTTGTACATATTATCGATGGTTCTATTAGACTTTTAATGATTTCTTTCTTTTCATTCTCCCATCTTTGGAAGATTCAGCAACCACTGTTTGTCCGCAAATTATATTTTTTTGTGGAGCTAATGTTTTGATCATTTTTATAAATGAAGGATTTTCAACAATTGAAAATGGCTGAATGCTATCTATAATAAAATCAGTTATTAAATCATCTAAAGTGGTTTGGGTTAAAGTCTGAGGTCTCTTGGAAATAAAATCAATGGACGATGAGCCTAGTCCAATATTTTCTTTAATAGATTTTTTCTCCTTCCCCTTTTTTATTTGGAATAAGAGTGTTTGATGTTTTCTCTTAAAATTTAAAATTGTAAACATTTATTTAGTATCTATACCCTTAAATGTTTTCAATGTTGCAAGTTGAAGTAATGCTAACTGAAATTTGCATATTTTTTGGTAGACATGGCAAACATTTTACTAACAGATGAAATATTATTTTAAAATATGGTCTATAAATTGGCCATGGAAAATTTTCGTCATTTTCGTCATCAATATTAATTTTAAAAATTAATATAATAGAATAGAATAAAATACCAATTCCATTGCAATTAAAAATGGCAAATTCCTTGAGATGGATTGTAATATCAGAATTTGCTTGTTGTTGATAACTCAGGCATAATATTTAATTAATATTTATATATTCTTTTTTATATAAAAGTTTTAATATTTTACATATATATATAATTTTTTAATATATATATTAATATTAAGTTATATGCTCATATGAAATAAAATAAATTTTACATTCAAGTATTTTTATTTATAATATAAAAAAGCGTTAAATAGAAGTATATCAGAATGTATCTTAAAAAGTATCTAAAAACAGATATAGATACCTCTAAAATATAATCTAGATACAGATACAGATACTTTTATCAAAAATCTTGCTAGATACAGATACCACATTTTTATATCTAGTTACTTTAACAACTCTGAAAATTAGTATTCTAAAAATATTTTTCATATTTTTATATTCTAAAATGTATCTCTTCTTAGACTCTTGTGGGACCAGGTTTATGTTAAATACAAAAAGAAAGTAAATATATATTTTTCAAGGGTATCTATTTCAATAACCTTTGCGGCAAACGATGTATGATCCAATAAAATTAAAATTTATGAACCAATAAAATTAAAATTAACACCCATAATTATGATCAAGAATATTTCATTTGAATTGCGTATAATCAAGTTCAACATTTTTTTCCTAATGTTCCCTCCTTAAATTCTAGTGGGACCAATGAAATATAATAATACCTAGATTGATGATGCATTCATTAAAAGTGTACATCAATGAAAAACAGCTGAGGACGCCATTTTGGTTACCCATATCATAATTTAAAATTTTTAAACGAGAGGCCAATTTATTCCTATGTCTAACGCAAACTTTATTAAAGAATTGGCTGATCGAGATTAATAAGGAAGCGAGTTATCAATTTAATAGTAGTTTTTTTAACCTGAGGATAATTACTATATTGGTTACCAAAATGGCGGGTCCAGCTGATTTGCATTCAACGACGCTTCCTAATAAATTATTATAAATGCATCGTCGGTCTAGGTATTATTATATCATTGAGTGGGGCAAAGTAAATATATTTCTTTAGGGTATCTATCTCATAACCCTTCGGTAAACAACGTATAATCCAATTAATAAGATTAGCACCCATAATTATGATTCATGAATTTAAGCGAATTAAGTAAAGTCTTCAACAGTGTATTTTTGGGGGGAAAATCTTTTTTTTTAAAAAAAGAAATTCTGATTGTTTAAAAACTTTCAGAAGTTTTAAAATTTTAATGAAATTTATATTTTTCTTCTATAAAATTTCTATCTGGACTTACTTGGTTTAAATCGAATTTTAAAATTAAGTTATAAAGTTAATTTTTTCCAGTTTTTGTCTTAGGGAAAAAAAGGCATTTTTGTGTTCTTACAAAGGGCTAGCTCAATATTCTATTCAGAAAAATCTAACGCGAGCCTTAAAATTTTGCCCATAGATGGCACAAAGGTTCGGGAATCCATTAGCCAAAATCTTCACTAAAATGATATTTAGTTAATCTAAATATGTGTTAATTGAGTGTCGAAAAAACACCTCTCGACACTAACCTACTAACAATATTATCCATTTGTCATATTATATAAAGATATATGTGGTGTTGAATAGAAAGAAAAAGAGAGGAAATTGAGAGCATTCATTCATTATGATTATCCCAGATTGTTAATAATATTATTATTATTTTAATTTGAATATTACATACTTATTATTTTTTATATTTAATTTTTGTTAAACTTTATGATAATATTATGGATTTTAATTAGACATTGGCTGAAATTCATATGGTATGCATTCCCAAGCATTGACGGCATACATTTCCGGTACGCCCAATAAATGATTTAAATTTGAAAAAAAATAACATATTGACGCTGAACATGTATAAATTTAAGAACAAAATATGAAAATGTTTTCCGGCAAATCTGCACCAATCACCGCGTGCCATGCCAATAAAAATCTACGCTTTTTTTTTCTCATTTTCCTCCGAAAACACACACTCGAAAATCAGGCGGGCTATAAGTTGCCCCGGCCTACGCGCCAAATAAATATTTTACTTACCCTCCTAAAAAGTGGTATCTTCCCTTAAAATATTTTGAGCATTCTTTCGGGGCCGTCAACGAAACGAGGGCGTCGGGCCGAATGCAGTAAGCGCCTAAACTGGATGGCGATGTTCTTCCGTCCACGTCCCAACCTTTAAATTAATGCGCGAAATCGTGAATACAAAATGGTTTCGCGGATTTGAATATAACATATGTTTGATAAAATTAATTAAATGTTACCCGAAGGAACGTCGAGACTGATGACCGGGATCTTGAGGGCCGCTATCTTGCCTATGACGTCATCGAAAGGAGGCCTGAACATGCTATTCGTATGGGGCGAAACAGCGGGTTCCCCAATTTTTGGCGTTTTGGCCGAAAACCCGAAACCGAAAAGGGCGTCCACAACAAAGTCGAAACCGGATTCGATGAGAAAATGTTCGCGAGGAAGATAGGAAAGGAAAGGAATGTCTAGCTTGGCTATTTGAGTTTTGAGAGAGGAGAAAAATTTGTTATTAGACTGCACGGGGTAATAAACGGATGGTTTGTAACCCTTTTTAAAAAAACAGATAAATAAAAACAGTTTTTTATAAAAAAGAAATATAGATACAAAAAAAACTTTGGTTTTCTATTTGTTTTTTTGACATATTAACAAGGATCTCCAGTAGGTATACCAAAACTCTGGTTGACATCATAAAATACCAATTATGACTTTATAAATAATTGGTCTCAATTGTAGTTTATTCATCTTCCATATTTTTAATACAATTACAAAAAAAATATATATATTAATCATCATGCAATATTAATAATGATATATCCCAGATTGTAACAGAAAATATCTTTTTGAACAAAATCATGTCATGAGTCAAGCCAATCATCTTAATATATTTCTAAGGGTTCTCAAGAAATCACCTGATTCTCGGGCTGATAATCTGGATTCGGCTCAAATGGAATAATTCCACACTATTCTAAGGGATTTTATTCCTGACTTTTAAGGAAGAGATAGTATTTACATTGTTTTTTTTTAAAAAAAGGAAGAAAAAAAATAATAACTTACAAATAATCTTAAATGTCTGGCGCAAACCAGTCCATCTCCTCCATTATTTCCCGGTCCACAACACACCAGTACAAGACCTCCTTTGCTCAACTGGCTTAAAGGGTAACATGACAATATGGCTTCGGCGCAGCTTAGACCTATTTACACATATATATATATATACATGTTTATTAAAACAGACGATTTTCACATGTTTTAACTTTTATGAGCATACGATAAAAAAAAAAATTATTATCCTTCACATTTTATCAATATTTTTTTACGATAACTTCTCGTATATCGATTGAATTCACTTATCGCTTGTTAATACGACAAAAAAATATTTTATCTTATCAATCTGAAACTTATTCCATTTCCGGTTTAAAAATAATATTTTTCGAGAATTTATTCGAAAAAACGCAAACCAGCTAATTCCATCAATTGTTCCAACGTATACGCGTATTCCCCCATCAATTCTTCGTCTAATTTTTTAGCTTCTGATTGGCTATATTATACGTACAATTAAAATAATATATTTAAGAACATGATATATGGAAAGATAAAAAAAAAAGGTGCTGAAATTTTTAGCATCAGCTGAATGCCAAAAAGCGCAAGATGCTGAGATATCGCTCAGACGATGCTAGCCGTATTAATTCAACTACTCATTTTGTATGAAAGAATGGCATGCTATTTAAAATTTATATTCTAGACCAGTCGTTGTTTCTACACATGCCAATCTTGTTTGACGACTTCCAGACAAAACTTTTTTTTTTGTCTTCAAAATGTTATTTCGGTTTTTATTTAAAATATCAATTTAATAATAGAAGTGTTTATAAATTATAATGAACGCCATATATTCCTGGTGGTAATTTTATATAAATAAGAGCTTTCTTGACATGATTGAATTATAGATTTAAAAACAATTAATTATTATATTATATGAGGGGTAACACCCTTAATTTTTGAGCATAATCCTTATCGTCACCTGATTATTATAGCAGGTGCTCACATTTTCACCTTTTCGTAACAATGCAAGGGAGCGATTTTTAAAAAAATCGTATACCAAACCGATAGTCGCCATTTTGAATTAATTATTTTTTTTTCGAAATAAAAAAAAATATTTGGAAAAGGGGGCCTGCCTCGTAAATCTTAAATTAGTCCCACCAACCCTATTCTACCCAGGGCGTAGGGACCAGTGAAACAGGTTCGCTTTCTTTCTTTCAGCTGAACTAGACTCCATTTTAATTGAACTTTAGGAATGACCCAGATCTTATGCCAACTCAGAGCTTTAACGGAACTAGTATAATCTTTTGCAGGCACATAAATGGGAGGTGGGGGGGGGGGGGTCAGATTTAGAGAATATATATAAAAGAGTTCATGAATTGTTTCATGAGGTATTCTATTTCAAATAGGAGTTTCAGGAAAAATCCAGGCCGTGCCAAGCAAATGGTACCTTTGCATGTCTCCGATAAATATCAATAAAAAGTTACTCGATTTGATAAAAAATCTTTTTAAACCTATATAATATATATAGTATTCAGAAACGTAGACAAAAAAGGCTTAAACTGGTCCTTAAAATTTTTGAAAAGTGGGTTACGAAATTCTATGTTAGATGGGGGGGGGGGGTGAATTGGTCCCCACTAGATTCATTCAAGTTTCGTTGGTTCATACCGAGGCATTATTACTTCCGCCCCCGAATTTGTCATAACAAAATGGTGTGGAGGAAAGTGGCCACTTACAAATGACAGAAAAATTATTATTTTTTTCTAACTAACGCAAAGTCGGCGGCCATATAATTTTTTTTTTTAATAATTACATTTTTTTTTTCTCCCCCAAGGATTTTCAAAAATTACCAATCTAATTATTATTATTTTTATTTTTCGAAAATAATTAGCATTTCATAATTAAGTTTTTTTATTTTTATTTTCCTAGAGTACATAAATATATTAACATTTGTCAAATAAAATAAAATGGTTTGGATCGATTTTCCTATTTTTCGAGATTATCAAATTGAGGTCAGTTTTCACTTTCGGAGTAAAATATGCTTCGTCTTATCTCCTAGAGGATTTTAATCTTCTTTTTTTTTTCAAACAGAAGCGACATTTTTTAAATGCATTTTTTTAAGGGTTTCGGAACCGAACCTCGAATCTCAAAATTTTTCAAAATGGAGAGAATTGAATCATTATGAATACATCTGAAAGTTCAACCTAGACTAACGATGCATTCATTAAAAGTGCGTATATCAATAAAAACAGCTGGGGACGCCATTTTGATTACCCGTATCATTATTTAAAAAAAAATTTAAACGAGAGGCCAATTTATTCCTATGTCTGAAGTATAAGGAATTGCCTGATCATCGAGATAAAAAGGAAAGCGAGTTATCAATTTAATAGTAGTTTTTAACATGAGAATAATTACTATATAGGTTGCCGCCAAGATGGCGGGTCCAGCTGATTTGCATTCGGCGACGCTTGTCAGTCAAAATATTATTCTATGCATCATATTACCACAATTTTAAAATATTTGAAATATAATTTATAATTTCTTAACATTCATGTTAGGCTATGTCCTAAATATCAAAAATTGCATAAAAATAATCTCGCGCAATTTGCGCGAGTTTAACGAAAAAAAAATATAAGCCATTTTAAACGGAAAATTAAAATGTTGGCCTAAATGATTTTTTCGATTTTGCGCATATTACACGATTCTTACAAATTTTACGATTCGTAAAACTTTAATCTTTTTTTCTTTAAACTTTTGTAATTTGTGCGAAAAGATGGCGAATGAATCTAATTTGATGGAAAAAATAAGGCCTCATAGATTTCTTTGGTGTAATAGCGACCTCAAATATAGGGACACTGCAGCAAGTAAAATAAAATGGGAAGAGATAGGGAAGATATATGAATTAAACTATGAGCAAATAAAAAAAAAGTTCACAGCTATAAAGTCAAAATTTAATAAATTTTATTCCCTTTCAAAAAAATCAGGTATGATATTATTAAATATATTATAATTTAATTTTATATAGGTTCTGGTGCTGCTATGATAAGCAGTAGGCACTTGAAATTTATAGAAGATTATTTTTGGCTAAAAGATAATGTGGAAGATATTTGTAAGAATGCAGAGGCAAGTTTTAGTTTGGATCAAATATCTTCACATGTATTATAAAATGAAATTATAATTATATAATAACAATATTTTAGGATTATGAACAAAATATCCAAGATGTGGTGAATGTACAAACATCATCACAGGTATTATAACATGAAATTATAATTATATAATAACAATATTTTAGGATTATGAACAAAATATCCAAGATGTGGTGAATGTACAAACATCATCACAGGTATTATAACATGAAATGTATATAATGAACTATATATTAGGATTACGAGTTAAATACACATGATCTTTTAACTGATATTGTTAATCCTACTGATATATATGAGAAAGAAATTTTAGAGGTTAAATTAATTTTATGTATATATTATTAATTTAATTATAGTTAGACAATTCTTTTAATAAAGAAAATATTAATCCATGTAGCTCAAAGAGGAAGAATTTAGATACTCCTAAATCTAAAGCTAAAAAATCTAAGAAGTATGAAGATGAAAAAATGGAGATATTTAGGGGTACATTTATATATTTAATAATTATTAATTTTTAAAATAGGTTTTGCTGCCAAACATACATCCCAAGGAGATGATCCCCATAATATTATGGGTTTTTTCAAATCATATCAAGCTCAATTTAATATTATGACTGATAAAGAAATTTTTGATTTTAAATTAAAATTTATAACAACAATGTTAGTTTAGTTTATACTGTATTTTTTTAATTAATTTATACATTTTTATATCTTAATTTTTAATACCATAATATGTTAAACATATTTTGTATATTTATTTATAATAAAAATTATTGAAATTTAGTCATTTGTCTTACTCATTAAATTAATTAGAAATAACTTACTTATATAATGTAATCAAAACAACACTTTTATTTGCACTTTTTATTGAATATTTATAAATAAATTATATAACTTTGACAAATGAAAACATTCATAAGAGATATAAGGTTATGGGAATTAAGAAATATAAGATTATGGGAATCAAAAATTAATGTGTACAAAAATTTTACATATAATTATTTACAAATAAATTAAAAGTTTCTCTAATATTATTAGAGCTTTCAGTCCATCGCTGGAACTGAGATTGGGTAAAATTGAGTATTGGGTATTGTTCATGATTTATATCTGTGCTATGATTTCCATCAAGATCTATTATAATATTATGCAAAAGGCAGTCAGCCTTAACTATTTGTATAGTGTTTGTAATATTTGTTTCTGAAGGTTTGTAAAGATGTCTGAATTTGGCACTCATGATGCCAAAGCATCTCTCTATTGATACTCTGGCTTTTGATAATTTAGTATTGAAAGTTGATTTATTATCATTCAAATTAGTTTTGTAGGGTTTCATAATAAAATCCAATAGGGGATAAGCATCATCACCTACAAATACATAAGGTGCTCTAATATCTGTAGATGGTAAAAAATTTGGATTGGGTATCTTGATGATTTTATTGATCATTCCTTCATAAAATAGGCTCTTTGAAAAGATACTTCTATCTGAGATAGACCCAGGAAAGCCAACTTCAATCAACATGAATCTAGAAAAGAATTAAAATTTAGAAAATATATAATTACCTAGCTTTATCATCTGAAATACCTTGAATGACAATGGAGTTGTATTTTTTATAATTATAAAATGTGGAACCACTTTTTTTAGGTTGTTTTATTTTAACATGTTTTCCATCAATAGATCCTATTATATGAGGAAAACCTGATTTCCTGAAATATTCTGCTGAAATTTCAAGCATCTGTTCAACTGTTGGTAAACAGAGATGCTTGGGTTGAAGACCAATCCATATTAATCTACAAGTTGATGTAACTATTGTACTTACTGATGTTTTGCCAATCTTAGCATATAAAGCTATTTTTCTAAAGCTCATACCAGTTGTCAAATATCTATAAATATATAGATATTATATAAAAAAATAATCATCATACATGAGTGTTATATATAGTCTATGCTTCATACTGATAGAATTTTTATGTATAACTATAGTGGTGTCTATAGATTCCAATTTTGTAAGAATGTAATTAAATGTTTCCACATGCATATGGAACATCTGACGAAATTTGTCAGGATATGAAGGAATACTATCAAATGTTCTAAAAATTCCTTGATCTCTAGAATTAATACATATAATATAAATCATATCATATATACCGTCCTTCTAAAAATCTATGCCTTCTTCTAGACTCAGTCGTATCTTCAAATAATATAAAATAGAGAAATAGTATATCATGCATATCAAACAATTTAAAATTGAAAATAAATGTATGATTCTGGACATGTTTCGTATCTCGCAAAACTCGCTAAAGTTGTGCATTTCGCAAAACTTTTGCGAAATTATTTTTTTGATTTAGGACACGGCCTTAATTAAAGAAATTTAATTTTTTTAAAATTATTATTGGGCCAATTAAAAAAAAAATAAACCACGTGATTAATTTTAAAAAAAAATGGAAGCCAATATGAATTCATGAGAACAAACGGGTAAAAACCGTTTAAAATTTAGCGGAGTGGAACTGAGCGGTTATAACGGTTCAACCACCCCTAAATTTTATTTTATACGAACAAATTAACGAAAAATGAAAATCTTGTTTGTGGCTAATATTATTTTTTACGTCTGCTTTTTTTTTGAAAACTGATAAAAAAATATATATATATATATATTAAAAGAAAGTATTTAATCAATAAAAAAATTTAAAATATAATTAATTATTCTTGTAAGAATTAGCTCAGAATTTGGAAATATAACATAATTTTGAAAGTAAAAAAATTATAGAAGAGAAGAGAAGAGAAGAGAAGAGAAGAGAAGAGAAGAGAAGAGAAGAGAAGAGAATAGAAGAGAAGAGAAGAGAAGAGAAGAAGAAGAGAAGAGAAGAGAAGAGAAGAAGAAGAGAAGAGAAGAGAAGAGAAGAGAAGAGAAGAGAAGAGAAGAGAAGAGAAGAGAAGAGAAGAGAAGAGAAGAGAAGAGAGAGAAGAGAAGAGAAGAGAAGAGAAGAGAAGAGAAGAGAAGAGAAGAGAAGAGAAGAGAAGAGAAGAGAAGAGAATAAAAACAGATAATATCAAATTATAAATAAAAGACCATTTAAAATATATTACTACATATTCGATTGTAAAGAAGAACTCTTAATTATATTATAAAAAACTTGAAAACTCACATCCTCATCTTTTTTTGCCAGGAATTTTTACATTTTCTCTCTAACCAATAGTTGGTTACGAATTTAACAATAGTTATCGTCTGCTTTTTTTAAAATTTTATTTGAATCGACAAAGTTTTAAACCATATTTCAAATCAAGTCAAAATATCAAAGAAAGCATTTGAAGAAAACTTACAAATACAAAAGTAATATATTTTTTTTATTAAAAATAAATATAAATCATCTTTCGATCCGTATAGATAGAGTTTGTCCAATTTTACGAAATATTAGAAACGCTAGTGGAAGTCAGCTGTTCGCCATTTTGATTACGTTTGTTAATGTAATAATAATTTATTATCATCATACGATTTTGCATATAAATCCCTAATATTTTTGTCTAAAAAATTATTTTAAAAAAAAAATGCCAAGCGGTCGTAGCTAAACTTTTCAGCTGGAATAAAAATAGGGTGATAGGTGGGAAGGAAAAGGTTACTTTAAAAGGAGGATAGTTTATCATTGTTCTATTTCTAACTTCTATAATAGAACCCTCGTAAAAGAAATCAAGATATCAAGAAAAAACGAAATAGGAACCATAAAAATATTTAGGAACAGGAAATGGAATAGCCATTTTTTTAAAAATAAATAAATATTTAGAAACAGGAAATGGAACAGCCATTTTTTAAAAAAAAAAAATATTTAGAGCAAGAAACCTACATTTTTTTAAAAAAAAATTAATTTTCCGAATTCCAGGAAAAAATAATTAAACCAAAAAAAAAATAACCTATAGCTTCTGTTAAGCTCAATTTTGTTGATGCTGCTAGTGTGGCCTTGGCGGGGGGGGGGGACTTTATTAACCTCTTAATGGTTAACTGTGCAGATATGCATCAGGCTAGATTTTCTATTTAGGATTATTTTTTTTCGGCTGATTTTTTTTTTTAGAATATCGTATTTGAGCATTAATCAATATAATTTGGAAAAAAAAAAATTGAGCATCTTTATCCACTAGAAAAATCTCGACTATTTAATGGGTTAAGATTAACTTTTATCCTCAAATCCCTAATATTTGAATCTACGAATTCAAATCTCAGAACCAGAAGCGTGAGGCGGAACCTAACCTTATCCGTAAAACTAGTTTGTCAACCACTCAAACTTTAACACCTGACCCAGAATTCATTTAGCGGAAATTAGTGCTAAATGTGAATGGAATGCGGTGTAGTGAAGATCCCTGAACAAGATTTGAATCTTAATAATTGCCGGAATTTTTTTTGTAAATTCAAAAAAACAAAAAAAAAACAAATGTTTTAAATAAATAAACAATTTTATTTTTATCTTGAAAATTTTCTTTCTTTCTTTCTTTCTTTTCTTTTCTTTATTTATTTTTTTAAATTAATTTTATATTTTTTAATATTTAGGCCGCGCATACATAGCCTTATAAAAAAAAATTTTAAAAAATAATATTTTTTAAGATTATTTTTTTTTTCTCTCAAATTTATATTCTCGGAAGAAAATAAAGAATTAAATTCGATACCGTGGAACAACCTCTATGAGACTTGGGATGTTGTTGGCCCTGATATATTAGCGATTTCGGGCCGGGTCGAACCGGTTAAAGGGTTCGATTTGAGCCGATTTTTTAAAAACTGATAATTCAATATGTTATCCAGAAAAAAAGTATAACGCAAGCCTGGATGATTTTTGGACACAGATGGCACATAGGTTTGGATGGATAGCTAAATCTCAAGTTAATCAAAAATGGGGATGGAAGATTTTGGCCATGTGTTTCACAAATTTTATAAATTTATTGAAATTTTTCTTTTTCTTAAAAAAATAAAATAAATTAATATATTTAGGTCACACAGGCCAAAATAAGAAAACTTCTGAACCTAAACCAATATTCGTTAGTTTAAATCAGAGACCTGTAGAGAAGGAAGGAAGGAAGGAAGGAAGGAAGGAAGGAAGGAAGGAAGGAAGGAAGGAAGGAAGGAAGGAAGGAAGGAAGGAAGGAAGGAAGGAAGGAAGAATCCCTACCAAGATTATGTCCATAATTATTTTACGTAGAATCTTTCGCTCGTAGAAAAAGAAGGTTAAAGCGCTAAATATCGATTTTTTTTTATCCACCATCTTTTTTTTTCGTAATTATTTTTTTCCATCTATCCATCTAAAACTTTGTTCTCCTTTCTAAACAAATCATCAATTTACCTCAAAATCCAACAAAATAAAATTATAATAGTTTTTTTTTATTGATTTAATAAATTTATAACATATATGCAAAGTTATTGCTATACATAATATAGGGGATACCAAGGGGCAAAACGAAACAGGGGGTAAAGTGAGACTTTATTTTTTTTTTAGGAGAAATTTTTAAGCTATTTATTCATTTTACAATATAAGATAAATTATGATGACACACGATGATGAATGCGTTACAAAAAAATATTTTATCTCACTAAAGATTTTATTTTGTAATATTTATTATATGGGTTTTTACTCCAAATAATGGCAAAAAATGATTTAAAGTTGAAAAAAGAACATTTTGTCGCCCTAACATATATTAATTTTATAATTCTCACGCAAAAATTTTTAAAAAATTTTCATTTTAAAATTATTATTTTAAAGTTTTTTAATCTTTTAATTTATAAATTTTTTTTTTAATTATTAAATAATTAAACTGATATAACCAAATTTAGCGTACATTATCGTAGTGGTGAGGTGATAAAGATAATTGTATGATATCCTTAAATGTTTATAGTTTTAATTCAAATAATCTCAGTGTAAAATTATATATTTAGTCAAACTTTTATAGGGTACTTATCAGAGACCGTGCAGGGGCCGTATATTTAAAACCAAATATTTGAAATCGTCATTGTTAGCTATAAAATACAAAAATAAATGTTAATATATATTTGAAAAAATCCGGGCCGAACCGTGCGAATAGTACCTATGCAGGTCTCTTGTATTTATATACAATTAAAAAATATCAGAAACGATTTTTTTAAAAAAAATAAATATTATATTTATTTTTGATTTTTTCTAGCTAATAAGGGGCGATATTCAAATATTTGGTTTTAAAATATACGGCCCGGCCCGGATATTTTTTAAGAAGTCCGGTCCGGCCCGGGTATATCTTATAAAAATTAAAATATGGCCAGACCCGTGTACCCCAATATCCTAGCTTGGTCCATTTTTGGGTCCTGTTCAGATTTTCGAAATAATACGGGGTTGGTTCGCGCCTTCAGTTTTCTTGTAAATTATATAAGTATAAATAAAGGATTCCATGTTTTTTTGGGGAAAAAAAAATATATCCACATAATTTTCATATAATTATAAAATAAAGGATTTTAAAGATAAAATCATTTCCCCCTCGTAGCAAATTTTTGTTTGATAATCTATAGCCTTAAAATTAAAATAAAATTACTGATACAATCAAATTGGCGTAAAAATTTTAATAATGGGAAATGATTCAAAGTACCCCGGTTTGCGTTTCGACTAACCTACCCCCGTTTTTGTTAATTATAAAAAAAACTGATTTTTTAAAAATCATTACACATATAGAAGACTCTAAGACCATAAGGACCTTTTATAAAATCCGTTATATTTAGCCTCGGTCTCATACAATAAAAAGCTAACAAATTTACATTCAATTTCACGTATTCTTCTACGAATATAAAGATCCCGCGAATGTGACCTTTCCACGTAGCAAAAATTAAATCTGAAGCAAATTCCTTTTCCTAATCTCGCCGGAAACACCTGTTATCTTTTTTTCGCCATGCTAATCGCACCCTCCCCCCTCCTCCATTTTATTTTTTGTATATTCAAAAATATTTAATTTTATATAATTAAATGTCGTGATAATTTTTTTAAATTTTTTCTTAAATCGATTTTATTTTATAATATAAAAAAAATATTTCTTAAAAATTAATAATAAATTTTTGTTTTTTTTAAAAAAAATAAATAATTTTTCCGGCATAGATTAGTAGATTCCGTTAATCGGTTCGGGTCGGATATCAAGTACTTGACCCGGTTAGGAAGAATGATTTTAGATATCTGACGTATCTTAAGGGTTTTCTTCAGGGAGGAGGTAATAAAAAATTATTCACATATAATTAAAATAAGGTTAAAAAAGGGTTTAAAAATTTTTTTTCTTCTATTCCTTGACCTTTTGACTCCTTTATATATATATATACCCAATGCCTGACTCTACTTCGGTGGAACCATCCTCAAGGAAAGAAAGAAATGGAATGAATGATCAAAATCTTATCTAATAACTTTTAAAAAATAATCATTTTTTTTTATTATTGATTTCTTTTTAAAAAATAAAAAAATCTATAAAGTTCGTTCATTTCTCGAGGAAGGTTATAAAGATGAAATTCGGATATAAATGCTTTTAATTGGCATGCCAAGCACGAAAAATTCATTAATTTCAAAAATTATTTTTACGACAAATATAGATTTTTTTAAAAAAAATGCAATAAAATATAATATATAATAAAATAGAAAAACAAAAAGAATGAAGGGAAGAAATTTTTCTTTTTAATTAAAAAAAAAGCCACATAAATTTATGTTTCGAAGCAATGACATAATACCTAAACTGACGATGCATTCAATAATAATGCGTTTGAAAGCGTCGGTTGAATACGAATCAGCTGGACCCGCCATTTTGGCAACCCATATTAGTAAATTATCTTCATGCTTAAAGACTAACCATTTAAATTGATAACTTGCTTCCTCATTTATCGATGGCATAGTAAATAAATTGGTTTCTCGATTAAAAATTTTTTAAATTGATATGGGTATCCAAAATGGCGTCCCCAGCTGTTTTTTCATTGATGTATGCACTTTTAATGAACGCATCGTCTTTGGGATTCGAGATGAAAATTATGTAGACATATTTTTTTCCCCAAAAAACATGGAATCCTTTATTTATACTATATAATTTACAAGAAAACTGAAGGCGCGAACCAACCCCGATATTATTTCGAAAATCTGAACAGGACCCAAAAATGGACCAAGCCGGGATATTGGGTATCTTTTATCAAATTAATAGGCTTCCTGATAATTGCTCCTAAAGGGGAATTTCTAGCAAAGCAAACGCCACAAATCAGGGCAGGAGCTCACTTTATAGAGGTGGTTATGGTCACTTTTCGAAATATGAGACAAGATAATGATTTATTAATTATCTTCTAGATCAATTTCATTTCTGGAATATTCGAGGATGAATGAATGAAGAAAAAATGTTAGAAAGTATAAAAAAAATTAGGAAAAAAATCTAATTTGTCCTTAGAATTATGGTTTAACTCTAAGATTGACATTCCTTAATATTTTTAAGGTGTTTAGGGGTTCCCGCCATTTTACCAGGTCAGCTGTTTTTTTTCAAAATCAATTTCTTATCTTATCTAGCACGTTGGTCATAGACCTGCCCAAAATGAGCGAACGTGAATTTTATGAAGGCCCACCCTTCATAAAATTATGCCAATTTTTTTTCTCAAGGATACCAACAAACCTTGTACTCAGTTGTAGTTTAACTAAATGAGTGGAACTTACCCTTTCCGATATTGCAATTGTAATTTAAATAAATAATAATATAAGGCATATATATCTTATTTGTTTATTAATCTTGAATAGTTATATTCATGATAAGGAATGAGTTAAGAATATTTGAATCTATAGACATCAAAATTCCATTTCATTTGTTAGGTTATATTGTTCCAAAAGATGAACCTGATTATAAATCCTTTTCTTTTGTTTCCTATATCATCTCTTCAAAATAAATCTTTAGTTTTGTTTTCTTTAGCATCAATTTAAATTTTTTTTTAAAGAATTTTGTTCACATGAATTTAATTTTTACAATTTAAAAAAAAACAACTAAGAAACATACAGTGTACAAGGTGGTGGAAAGGAGAATGGTTAGGAGTAATTTGACTATATATTTTTTTAGGGGTACAAAATATGGGAGGTGGCAGGGGTGGGAAGAATAAAATTGAGGGTTAGGGAGTAAATCTGGGTGCGTTGCTTTCAAATTTTTTTTTATTATCATGAAGATGCAGGTTAGAAACATAAATCCAGAAAGGTAATTAAATTCACTGAGGATTCTGCCCCCATCCCCCCAAAAAAAATAATAAATGTGATTAAAATAAAAGTTTCAATTTATTTTATATATTTATTTATCTATCAGAGAACCTGGTTAGCTTTTCCCAGACCTGTTATAAATGTGCAAAGGAATCATTGTTAAATCACCCCCCCCCCCCCCTTGCCCCATCCCTTTTCATCTTGCAGGTTTATTTTTTTGGGAAAATTCCACTTATTTTCATCTTTACAGTAATTTATTACAAAGGTATAAATTTATATAAAAACTTTAAATAAAACATTTTAAAAATAAATATTATTATAATTGAGTTCTCAAAAAGAAAATAACTAAGAAAAATTCCTTGAATCATTTGTAAGGTCACTTAAAAAAATTTGAAAGTAAAATTCTAAAAAGTAGATTTGATTATGAGGGTGACTAAATAATTTGTTAATTTTAAATAATGTGCTTCAAATAAACTTTTTAAAAATGAATGTATTAGTATCATTTAAAAATATATATATATATATCTGATCTATATTTGTTTTAAGATGTAAATATTCACAAAATTTTAATATAAATAGTTAGATTTTTAATATAAATTATTTTATTTGTTGATTAACTGTTTAAATATATTGTAAGAATATTTAATAAAATGTATAAATAAACAGATAATTTTTTTTATTTGTTTAAAAATGAACTGAATCATCTACTGAAAGCATAATCATTTTCAAGATTCTAAACCCCGAACCTATACAAAATTAATATGTAAAGGAAATTTGGATTACCTTAAATAGCATTTTGTACCATATGATGACTGTGATTCCTGTGAATATTGTCTAGCCATTTTAAGTTTACCACCACCCTTGACTGGTTGCTGTGATACGAAGGGGAAAGTTAATTTTCTATCGGGTCCTGATAAAACAATGTTTATTGGCTTATAATTTTTGTCTTGTGGGGGATTTGTCGTTTTTTGAGCCGATGTTAAGGAAAATTTACGGAGTTGGGCAAAAATTTTGGAATAATCAATGATAGCCTTTTTATATTTTAATGCAATTTTCTTGCAAAAAAGGTTTTAATACATACAACTTGTAACAAAGTAATTAACACTACTTAAAAAGCTTTTAGATGAAATTATAATTGAATTAACTTTGAAAAAGATTTATCCATTTAAGGGCTTTCAAATTTTGTGGACTTAACAATCATATGTTTATAAAATAGTCCAGTACACTTATAGAAATGTTAGATATCGAATTTCTGGATAAAATCAATTTCTTCAAAATAATAATATCATCATATATAATAATTTTATCTCCTTATTATTAACTTACTAGAATAATATAAAAATATATTAAAATATATAACCTAAATAAGATATAAATTAGAATATTAACGTAAAACAAAATATAAATTTTTAGATAAAATAAGATAAATATTATTCTATGATGAAATAAAAATAAAATGTATTGAATATCTTTTTATAAAATAAATGATGAACTATTTTATAATATAGATATATAAAATAATGAATTAAAAATATAAAACTAATTTTATCTTAAAAATATAAATTAATTCTGAGTTAACTGTCTAAGTTTCCTAGTAACTCAGAGTAATTCCTGTCATATATTATATATAGAATATATTTAATTATTTAATAACATTAGTTAATATAATTTATTACGTTGTGCCGTACAAGTCCGGGTAAAAAGCAAAACTCCGAATATAATAATTTTATTTCAATCCAATATATTTATATAATTTTATAATAATTTAATAATAATCGAAAAAAAATTAGTTGTTAAAAAAAAATTAATTCAAAAAAAATGAATTCAGAAAAAAATGAATTCAAAAAAGAAATGAATTGATTATTTACAAATTTCGCTTCCCTTTTATAGGGAAACAATAATCATCACAAATAAATAATTAAACCCCATCATCATAATGACTTTACAATAATTAACTTTTATAAATCTAAAAATAAAATTTTAACGCGATTAAACTAAAACATAAAATTATAAAAATAACAATGACTCACCAATTTAACTAAAACATAAAATTATAAAAATAAAAATGACTCATCAAATGCAATACATACTGACTTTACCCAAAATCAAATTTTACAAATCAAAGTCTCCAAATTATGACATAATTAAAATTTCAAGAAAAAATATTATATAATTATTACTAGACAGGATACAATTGTGATTAAAAAAAACTGTAAATAGAAGATAAATTAGTAAAATACATCCTAAAAATTTCATTAAATCTTTTATATTTATAATAATTAACAATTAGATAGATTTATGAATATTAATCATCGTCCAATGAAGAGGTGAAATTATATTATATTAACCTGTGTTGTAGCCAACGTCTACATGAGCGGGAGGGGTAGGAACAGTTTGCATCCTATTTTTTTTAGGGGAAGGAGGTAAGCTGCTTTATTGGGGGTAGGATAAATTTTTTGGGGGGTTATCTATTAAATTTTGAGATGAAATAGGACAAAATTTATTGCTGTAAAAATTATACTTTTATTATAGTATTATTATAATACAATTCATCGACCAAATCTATATAATCATACACATTGTTTTCCAAATAAACTATCCTTTTAAAGGCATGCACAGCGTCTACATGAGCGGGAGGGGTAGGAACAGTTTGCATCCTATTTTTTTGAGGGGGTAGGAAGCTGCTTTATTGGGGGTAGGATAAATTTTTTGGTGGGTTATCTATTATATTTTGAGATGAAATAGGACTAAATTTATTGCTGTAAAAATTATACTTTTATTATAGTATTATTATAATACAATTCATCGACCAAATCTATATATTGCAAACAATCATACACATTGTTTTCCAAATAAACTATCCTTTTAAATGTAATTTAAAAGGTTTAGATATTTTAGCAAGCTCATAATGCCATAATAACTAATTCATTGTAAATAATGGAGGATTTAATTGAATTTAATATCTAAAAAATAAATTATTTTTAATCACAAAATATAGATAGTTGGTAGTAGATACAGATTAATTTAAGTTATCATTTGTAAATTCTTTGAAAAGAGTATCAATAAATAAAAAGGTAAAATTAATGATGACACCTCTTCCGAAGGTGGCGATTTTTTAGGGGGGTAGGCTTAGGTTTTTGAAGGAGGTTTGCATCCAGTGAAAATTCTGTCATGTAGACGCTGGTTGTAGCTGTTGAAAAAAAGAAGGAATAAATTTAATTTAATACATCAAATGTCAGTTATTTTCTGACAGGGGAATTATGTTTTCCTGGTGGATAGGGGGAAAACGTGATCATCACATGTTTGGTTTTTAAGGATTCCTTTGTTAACTATTTTGGAGTGAAGATATTGGATTAATTGGAGAAGATGTCAGCTGGGAGGAATAAAGAATGGACCTGTGGGAATGAAGAACATGTGAAGCGGGATAATTATGATTTATAATATTTATATTTTTTTTAATGGATAGATAAATATAATTATGAATAAATATAATTATGAATAAAAATGGATTGTTTTATTGATTTGTTTTAGGGTATATTAGTAATGATGCGCTAACCGCTCTCAATTAGTTTAAGAGTTTCATATCAAACTAATTGATAATGTATGCGATGAAAGGTAGTGTTGTTAAAAAGCTAGATTTGGGTGAAACGACCCTATTGATTATATCCAAAATAATATTGTGTAAGGCTGGTCATTTTTTGATAAATTAATATATTGGTTTCTAAGACCTCAATAATAGAGATCACGTCTTAATTTATGCTAAGTGGGGAGATAAATACTTTATTTGCAATATTGTAAAAATAATCATCAATCTGATGTACACAGAAACAAATTAACATTATTATATTTTAAAATGCATTTGTTTTAAATTTGCTGTTAACGTTATTTGAAGAGGACAAGACTCTTTACTTGTATGTTACTAGTGTTTTTAAAACTCGTTTTAAGTCTATTTTTCAAAACGGTCCGATTAAGATTTTAGCTAAAATATTATTATGTAAGCACACAGATTTGGCAAATAAATGTCTTAGCATTTCTGTCAACTATGAGCAAATTCCTTAGGCTTATATAATCTTATTTTGGTTTTAATCTTATCTGGTCGTTTTGACACTAACGGTTACTCTTCAAAAATACTTGTTTCCTTATTTAACGTTGCTTTTTAAAAAAGTAATGCCTTTACTAAATTTTAGTTTAATGTATAATAGAAAAAAGAAATACCCTTCGGACCAGTTCTGAGACTAATTCTTTATTGTTATTAGCTACAGAATATATTTAGGAAAATTCTAAGATAATTAATTTCCGCAATTTAATATAATTCTTTCACCATTTCATAAGGATTTAGGTTTTATCTTAAATATTGTTATATCTATTCTAGTGACTTAATTTGAATTTTAATATAGAGGTTAGAGTTGGAATACCTCTCATATATTTAATTAATCCTGACCCACATCTTTTAACCTTTAATCATTTATACTTGTTTATCTTTAAATATGTTTATCCCAATAAGATAATTTTATTGAATTGCATATTCATTGAGTTGGGTAATTATCAATATTTTGATAATACTGAGTGGTTGACGTTCATTATTACTGCAAATAATCTATTATACTTGAACATAAAAATTTGTTGTAGGCCTAACAAATCGATAATTCTTGAAGAAGAGAATATAAAGGACTAACCCATTTCATAAAACTCTATAATGGATAGATTTTCATATTAGATGACATGATGGAACTAGATGAGGAATTAAAGAAATTATTCTGAGATATTCAATTTCTAAAAGATTATCTTCCATTGAATTGTATGTAAACGATTAGAAGTTGATCAATATTGCTCATTTAAATTAATCGAATGCTCTCAATAGTAGGATCAATATTCTTAATTTTAATAGACACACAAATAATAGATGTTGGTTAATTTACAGTCATAACCACGCTACTCGCGATGAACTCATAGCAGAATATATTATGTTAGGTAAATTAATTTAACAAAAACCCTAAAAATATTTAGAAGAAATAATTTTGCAAAAATATTCAAGCCTTGAGCTATTTATACGGTAAGAATACCACATTAGAAACGAATCACTTAGTAACTAGAAAAAAAGACCCAGAGTAATATGATAAAAGCAATTAAGATTTTATGCATTATTACCAACATTGTAATAATATTCAACACCAACAATATACAAAATATTTATTTTAACCTCTAACACTAACTAATTAATACTTAACTACTTAGATAAATATAAATCACTATTTAGAAGATCATTAAAAAAAATGAGAAGAATTTATTTATATTTCTTTCAATCATGCAGCAATATTAAGTGAATGACAAAAGTAATGTCTATCTATTTAGGTAAAAAGTGTTATTAACGTTAAAAAATTTTAAAATTATCAATCAAATAGTAAAAATTTTTAAACTAATAAACAAGCCATAAAATAATTTTTAAATATATGGCGACCAGGCTGATTAAAATAAATTTATGGATAAATGGAAGAATGAGTAAATATTTTTAAAATAATTATAAGCGGGCGGGTAGGGGGCTGATGTCGGCTTAAAAAAGTATTTTAAAATAGCGGACCTCTATTCTGAAGCACAATATTAATAACATATTCAATACACTTCTGAGGAATATTTCCCAGGCTTTTATAAGATCTTATCCTGATACACACAGTATCTCATGCCTATGCGACTCTTCTTAAACTTAACTTATGTCAATCAAGTCCAAACAGGAATTTAACTAGGTGACACACTTACAACTGCTCTCTTTTATATAAGGATAGATGAAATCATCCATATAATCAAAAGAGAAAAACCTTAATTAAGTATTTGATAATTTAATTATGGGTTTTCCCTTAAAGAACTATTTGAGACCTCAAAAATTATAGATAATCTTTATACTGGATTATCTCTCTAGTTTATTGTCTCATATTTTACTCTCCCTGCTCATGCCTCTCCAGATTCCTACCTTACTGCTTAAGCTTCTATTGAAGGTCATTGATCATAAATATTTAGATCACTTTGGATTACAGATTGATAGTCCAGAAATGATTTCTTAATTTCTATACAAATCTTTAACTTATATAGTCTAAAAACGCTAGGTGCTAAAATTAGTTTTTTACCTTTCCATTTTCCAATAGTGGCTATCATAAATTCAAACATTTTAACGATTTCGTAGTTACCTAGTTTTTTCCTCAACCTGTCCAGCATATTTCACACCTCTCAAAATCTGTCCAATTGAATATATTCTCATTCTCTTTACGTTCATCCTCGATGCATCCGAATTGTGATTTTCATTGACTGAATGTTTCATCGAATTTTATTTCGGTCAAGTAACATTGAATGTCACTAATTTGAAATTAATAAATATAAAATATGAAGGCAGTTTCCGGCTAAAATCTCAGTATACATTCACGTATAGCTCCAGTTATGACATAGTTAATTTCTATACATGCTTCCGGTAATACCCAGGTCAAGAAAATAACTCCTATGACGTAATTTCTTTAAGGAACCCTACCCAAGATATTGATGAAATTAACAGTTAATTTTCCCAAGAACCTCTCGTTGTTATCAAACCCAAAGGGTTTAATAGTCCTATGGGAGATGTCACCTCTTGCACGCGACTATACATGCATCTATGTGTTTATCAAATCTAATAGGAATAAAATTTGCATCTACCCCTCCCCCCCCCAAAAAAAAATCATAAAGGGAAATAAATGTTAATCCCCACTTTAGAAAACTTAGGCAATAAAAGTCCTATTCTTCCTAAAATTAATAGGAAGTAAAAAAATATCTTTCATACCCGAAGCAACAAAAGATTTTTATATCTTCACAAAAACATTGTATTGAAAAAAAATACTGCTAAAATTTCAGATCCATTCACGTTGCAAATAATGTATTTAGAACCGAGGATGGAGTTAAAATTGTAAAATATTTAGATACTTTGTTGTGTTAGTTATTTTGCATACATTATTAAATTGTATACAATATTATAGATTGTATAGAACTCAGATTATTATTATATAGTGGAAATTTTGATAAAAAAAAGGATTATAGGGAAGAATAATAATGTTAATTTTATTTACTCGTTTCCACCAAGTGGACCAGATTTTTATATTTCAGATTGACATCATAATCTCAAAATTGTTATTATCCCGGTAATCTTCAAATTAATCGATAATGGTTTTCTAAAATAATCGGTATTTTTATATTATTATTATGGGAAATGATGTATCTAGCCAATTAGAATTATGTTCACATTGTAAGATTTTTGAAATTATATGTAGCATAAATATTTTTTTCATATATATAGTTGATGCAGAAGAAATTAAAAGGTTGGGCAAAAGATTCAAAAAGTTAGATTTGGACAATTCAGGTTCATTGAGTGTAGATGAATTCATGTCATTGCCAGAATTACAACAGAACCCCTTAGTACAAAGGGTTATAGAAATATTTGATACTGATGGTAATGGGGAAGTTGATTTTAAAGGTTTTAATCAATTAATATTCTCTTTCTAAATTATAAAATTAATATTTTTTTTAAAAACCCTAACAGAATTTATCGAGGGAATATCACAATTTAGTGTGAAAAGTGATAAGGAATCAAAACTTCAATGTAATATTTTTTTTATATAGTTATTATATTTTGATGTATCAACCTTAGGTTAAAGTGGCCCAAACTGGCAATTTAAAAACTAAAAGTTATTTTATTCTTGCCACAAAATTTTTTTTTAAGCTGTTTTTTATATTTTTATGGATCATTTTTATAGTAAAAGGCATAAATTATATTTAAAGCTTTAAAAAATTTGCTAACTTCAACTCACTTATTAAAAATATTTTTGCTCTACATATATAGATCTCTAGTGTTATGTTAACGATAGCCATCCTACATAATTAAGTATTTATTAATTTTTTAGAAAACTATTTCTTTCTCTAACTAAATATATTAACCACATATATATTTGAAAACTATTTTTGAAATTTATATGCCTTTAAAATTGCAAAATTTGGAAAAAATTATTTTTCAGTAAAATCTTATTAATTAATAGTGTTGACAAAAATAATGATTTTTTTAAAAAAAAATTCACCAATTAATTTTTTTGATTTATGCCAAATTTTATGATGAAGAATAATAATTTTCTAATGAATACTTTGACTGAGGGAAAATAATTGCAGAGAAAAATTATTTATTAGACATTCATTTCATTATATATAATATCTATTTTTGTGAAATTTATGAATAAAGTAAAGATTGCAATGCCCATATTTCAATTAAGATGTTTAATTTTTGAGGATAAAAATTAAATACACCCAGGATTGGACAAATTTTTTAAAAAATGTAATAAGATATAAATGTAGAATGTGTATAAATGCTAGTGCTGTAAACATTTCTAAAAAAATTGAATTTGTTCAAAATTCACATTTAAAAGGAAATTTTACAGATAAATTTTTTTTTATAAATATCATTTAATATAAATAAATGCCATATATTTTTTTTACACAATATATTAGCCATGTTTAAAATTAATAGTTTGAAGTAAATAAAAAAATATTTTTAATTATAAAAAAAAATTCTTATTAATTTTTAATATATAAAAACTTTTATATGTCATATAAAATTATTTAATAATACTTTTAATTGTGTTCATCTATTAAAATATAAAACCCTTAATAAAAACTTAAAAATAATAGCAAAATTTCCAATAATTCACATCAAAGATAAATAAATTCTAAAAGATATTAACTATTTTATATTGTATGTATGTTATATATAATGTTTAATTATTTTTACTTTATGTATCAGATATTAACTATTTTATATTGTATGTATGTTATATATAATGTTTAATTATTTTTACTTTATGTATCTGTTATAATAATCATAATAATTTAATAAGTCTATAAATTACAATATTCTAAAATAAAGTATTTAACAGGACACTTATAGTTATAATAATAAATATAACAATCAAGTATCTATTTAAATTAGAACTTGAAGATTTTGAAACAGATATTGATAAGGATAGGATTAGTATATTGAATGTGTGATGTTATTGTTAAATATTTATTTTATATCTGCCATGGTAGTAAATTCAGAATCATATGATTATAATAAAATAATGAGATCCATGTTTATGTTAATCTATAAAATATAAATAATAATATTCAATAAACTATAGCTATACTATAGGACAGAAGTAGTATTTAAAAAAATTTGAATGTGATAAAGAAAACAGCTGATTAAAAAATGACCCTTTTTTTCTTTAAAAAATTTGTATTAATAGTTTTTTTTTTATTTTTAAACCAATAAAAAATAAGAAGATTTCTAATTTTGAACCAATCATAAAAAATAAAAGGAACGTCTATCATATTTTTTTTCTTCAAACGAACTTCCTTCATGAACACGTTCAGTCAGTAACATTAACAAATACTAAATATCTACAAAAATTTGAAATAAATATAAATACTGTGATGATTACTTTAAGAATTCTTCAAAAGTTTAGCATCCCAGCTCAGAATTTTTTTTTAAAAGACTTTTAAAAAAAATTATTTCCACCTGGACTAGACGCCCATCAAATTAATTTTTTATGAAAAATTTTGGGTAATCATATTTTTAATATATCTATATTTTTTTTTCCCCAAATGTCAATTAAGATTATAAGACCCTTACATCTTTCCATCTATGGCTATCTATTCCTACAGCCATTTTATGAATCAATTTGTATTTCTATCATGTATTTGTAACTTTGAATGTATTCGTATTGTACATAAATTATTTTTTAATTTCTCGAATTTGCTCAATTGTTTATAGATTTAATAATTTTATTTAGGAAAGCTCTTAAAAATACGGGAAAAAAGCATATTGTAGTTTATTTTCAAAACTTGCTATTAAATTTCTATTCGTTAGTTGTTGGCCCATTATACTTTTTTGCCAAGCCCAGCCCTGCCCCTTATAATTTTTTTTAAAGAATTTTGTCCCATACCGTTTATTATTTTTTCCAGCTCGGACAGACCGGTTTGTTCGACAGGGCCGTAGTCAGGAATTTTCTGGGGGCCAAGTGCTTACTGGGGGGGGGGCACAATTTTTTTAAAATCAAACAAATAATTACGCATTCATAGAAATTTTTTCCTATTTTTATTAAAAATTTAATAACAAAATAATACTATAATATGAATATACATAACAAAATAACACTATAATATGCATATACAAAACAAAATATTACTATAATAGAATACGGCGATTTTTATTTTTAAATTTTAATATAAATGAACTAAAAGATAAATTCTGCGTTATTCTTTTTTCATATGCCATTAATACTAAATTTTGTTTACGTTTATCCTTCATAGACTCTCTACTGCTCGATAAAACTCTCTTTAATGTAGAGAATGAGGCCTCACAAGAAGCCGTTGATATCCCAATGATTATCGCTGCTGAGTAGCATTTATATAATTCTTTAAATGCATGATTATATTTTTTTTTATACATAACATGTAAGATATTTTCAAAATTATGATTTTCTCTAGCTTCCGAAGCTAGCAATCCTTTTGCTATCTTCATTTCATGATGCAGTGTTTCCATATTTAAGTTTAACAGGGATTTTAATGAGGCCATTTTATCTGATAAAAAATAATCAGGGTCAAGGGGGGACAATGTATTATAAGATGAAAAAAGATTAAAAATCTTCTGTAAATCGGTCTAAAAAACGATCCACAAAGTTATCTATAATTTCATAATATATCCTTTTTAAAGAACTCCAAGTGGAGTCTTTTTCACAATCAAATTCTAGTTTGCTATCAACTAAAAAATCTTGGAAATTTTTAGGCGTTTTACGTACCCGTGATGATTTTTAGGGAATAAGATTAAATTTTGATAAATGTTTTTCAGCTTTAATCATAAACAAAGCAAAAGAATTATCACTTCTTTTATTTTTTAATATATTGATAGTAGAATCAATACAATTTTTAGCATCCACTAGATTAGTACCTACTGATTGTAGATACTTATTTAGTGGATCTATTGTAATTAATATCTCATAAATTATGATAACTAATATAATGTATAATTTATATTAATGCATTGAGATAAAAGACCAGAGGCTTCGACTGAATCATGAATTGAAACCTCTGAATTAAGAGTTCTATTAGAAAAGTAAAATAATACTTCACCAATAGCCTCAAAATATAATGTGAGATGTTTCCAAATGACCAGTCCACCTCTGGTCTAAAAGTCTCTTAAGGATGTGGCCTGTATATTTACAGGATACGTTAAAACGCCTGAAAAAATTATACAATGCATTTGATAAATTAAAAAAATTAGAAATAAAACAATATTATTACACCAATTTTGAACCACAAGATGCAACTTGTGGTTGTAGCAATGTATAAAAGGAACATTTTTATTAATTTTTTTTTGAAGAAGTGTTTACACTCCTCCATTTCTGCCAGACATAACGTTTGCACCATCATATGCCTGGCTTATTATATTAGCTGAATTAATATTTAGATCATTAAGTTGCTTTAAAATGCAATCTGTAATGCTTTCAGCAGAAAGACACTCTAAATTAATGATTCCAATTAAATTTTCTTGGATTTCTCCAGAAAAAAATATAATGAATTATTATGCTCAGGTTTTCACAACCTGAAGCATCTTTTGTCTCATCAGCCTTAAGACAAAAAAAATGCATCTCGCTTTTATTATATTTGTCTGAAATATGTTCAAGCACCATATCTGCCATAATGGATATTACTTCGTTTTGAATCTGTGGTGATGTATACTGGGCATTTTGGGGTATATATTTCATAATTTTATTTAATTCAGGGTCTTTTTCGATGGTGTAGGAAAACATTGCTATAAATAGCCCAGAAGAATAAATTATGTTTTCATCTTTTGCAGCATCCGTAATATTTGTTGAACCAGTCCCACGGAAAGGTAGCTCTTGTATGCTAAGAAATAGCATCAAATCAAGTGTTGATTTAATATAATATTGATTACGATTAATTTGATCACCTCCCAACATTTTAGTTATTTCTGTACCTTTGTTTATATTTTGATTTTTATCATGCCATATTGTAATTGAATTTAAATGAGCTTTTGAGCTCTCGTGTTTTAGCAGTCCCTTCTTGGCAGCTAACGCTTTCCAATTTCTGAATCCCGTTTGTCCAAATTCATCACTTGGATTACACAAGTATTTCCTACACGGAAAACAAAAGGCAGCGTCAGCTTTTACACTATACTCCAACCAGTCTCGGCCTCTATACCATGATTTTTGAAATGATCTTTGCCTTCCATGGATATCTTTTTTCGCGTAATTATTTGATTTGATTTGGTTTATTCTGGCCAAGGTCACATGGGATTTGAATTGAACCATTAGAGGACTTTTTTGACACTAAAAATATTATAATTAGTAAATTGTAATGAGGGAAAGGGTCATCAGGATGGGCTAAGGAAGGGCATGCTGAAAATGAACAAACACAAAATTTATCTTGTATTTAAGATACAAGTATTTGTTATACCGTAGTGTCCAACCCTGATGAAGATTATCAGTAAAGTTGATCAGTAAAGTTATATATATTCAGTATTGAAAACTAGAAAAAGGTCATAAACATTATATAACAAAAAAAAATATTATTTTTAATATTTATAAATCAATTACTAGTTGCCTCTGACAATGAGAGACTGAGCTGCTAGATGAAGATGATTGAGTCTCTTCTTCTTCTTTATTTGTTTTAAAATCAAAATGTAATAATGAAACACCATAATCTCCTACTCCTATCATTTCAAAAATCATGGTATAGAGGCCGAGACTGGTTGGAGTATAGTGTAAAAGCTGACGCTGCCTTTTGTTTTCCATGTAGGAAATACTTGTGTAATCCAAGTGATGAATTTGGACAAACTGGATTCAGAAATTGGGAAAAATGCGTTATGCGCCAAGAAGGGACTGCTAAAACACGAGAGCTCAAAAGCTCATTTAAATTCAATTACAATATGGCATGATAAAAATCAAAATATAAACAAAGGTACAGAAATAACTAAAATGTTGGGAGGTGATCAAATTAATCGTAATCAATATTATATTTAAATCAATACTTGATTTGATGCTATTTCTTAGCATACAAGAGCTACCTTTCCGTGGGACTGGTTCAACAAATATTACGGATGCTGCAAAAGATGAAAACATAATTTATTCTTCTGGGCTATTTATAGCAATGTTTTCCTACACCATCCAAAAAGACCCTGAATTAAATAAAATTATGAAATTTATACCCCAAAATGCCCAGTATACATCACCACAGATTCAAAACGAAGTAATATAATCAATTCTAAAAAAAAATTCAAATTGTGGGGGGGGGGGGGCAAAAAAATTTTTGGGGGCCAGGTTTGGGGGCCAAAAATTTTTTTGGGGCCGGACACCCACCCCCTCCGTGGCTAGGGCCCAGTTGTTCGATAATGATTATCATTCTGACAAAAAAAAATTTTTTATTAAAAAAAAACTTATCTATAACTGACGATTTATTAATTAAAATTGCTTTCACCGGTCGTAAATAAATCAGCTGATGACGCGCCATTTTTTTTAGTTTCCCATATTTTTTTTTAACTTCGAACCGAACCGCGAAACCGGAACGAACCTTATTTCCGGAACCATAACCTAACCGATATAGAGAAAATATCAAAAAAGCGAACCGAACTGTTATAAATATTTTTAAACCGGGTCAAAACGGTTTTTAAAAATAATTAATTTCAAATTTATTAACATAAATTTGAAATTTTAATTTTCCTTTAAAATTTACAAAAACCGGAAGGAAACGAAAAGAACCGTTATAAATTCTAAACCGAACCAAAACCGAAATTGAATAAAACCTCTATAAAATTTTGAACTAAAAACCGAAGCGAACCTAATCGATATACACGACGGTTCGTAAGATTTTAATGTAAATTGTTCATACGGGAAACAAAATGGCGTTTGCAACGCATGAATGAATCGTTATTCTAGCTTATTAAAAAAATTTTTTGTTTCATCTTACGAATTTAGTTGCTTTCAAAATCTACGACATTGACAAGGACGGGTTCATATCAAATGCCGAATTATTTTCGGTGCTTAAAATGATGGTAGGTAACAATCTAAAGGATGCCCAATTGCAACAAATCGTCGACAAAACTATCATAAACGCCGACACCGATATGGACGGAAAAATTTCTTACAAAGAATTTTGCTCGGTTAATTGATAACATAATAATGATTCGTGTAACATTTATCATTTTCCTCGTGAGGATAAAGGTTTCTAACGAATCTTATTTGACCCTCCCTGAACCTTAGAACTTTGGTAAAAATTTGTAGGAACCTTGAACGCCCACTCCCCGGAAGTAGTTCTAACACATGTGAGAATTGACGGGACCTGATCTTTGTTTCAAAAAGAGATCTTAGGTCCGAACGTTAAAAATGTTTAACCTCTACATATATTAATTTGAGATTTATAGTTTATTTTTTAAAGAAATAATAAGCCTATATTGAATATTGGATCGGTACGGATATTTAGCGTCTTCAAAAAACATGGATCGAGCCCAACGTTTTGCCGAAATTTTTTTAAAAACCGATCTGATATCGATTTTGTTAAAACGGCTAACTCGATATTTTATCCGGAGAAATATAGTTTGAGCCTCGATATTTGGATAATATAATATGTCTTAGAACTTCATCCCTTCTATGAGCAAAATCTTCAGGCTGCATAATACTGTTTCTGGATGAAATATCGAGTTGACCATTTTTAAGAATCGGCTCAAAGGAGAGCCGTTTAGCAACACTAGTTTAGACTTACTTCTATTGTCGGAATATTCGAGGCTTTAGATAATAATATTTTAGCTAATAATCTTGATTTAGCACTTTAAAAAAAAAATCGGTTAAAATGGAGTCGTTTTATCCAACACTACCTTTCACTCCACAAACATTTGCAAATATTTAAATTCTTTCTTTCTTTCTTTCTTTCTTTCTTTCTTTCTTTCTTTCTTTCTTTCTTTCTTTCTTTCTTTCTTTCTTTCTTTCTTTCTTTCTTTCTTTCTTTCTTTCTTTCTTTCTTTCTTTCTTTCTTTTATCCCTTATATTATGGATATCTATTCAATTATTTAACTATTTCCCCCCCGAGATCCGCAGAGATCTCATTTACCCTGCTCGGATTTTTTTTTATAGAGGCCCGTAGATATATTTTAATAAAATACGGTCCGGCCCATGTACCGTGTAACGAGGTTATTTATACTCCGTAAAAAAATATTACTCACTTATTTAGTGATATTGACATTTATGACTGACATGCATAGCTTAAATACTTGTGTTATCGACATTTATGACTGACGTGTATAGATTAAATAATATACTTATAGCCCGTACCGATATTTAAGGCCATATAGCCTTATTCTTTTATTCTCTTTACAAAATTTTATGTATGTATTTGAGGTTAACTTCGAAAATGTCAAAGCTTAATATAGAAATGTGAGATATGACAGTTTTAAAATTGAAAGTATGATAACCATTGGTTACTATTTATTATCACGTGACCACCCAAAGTTAGAAATTGACATTGACAATATTTTTTGTATCATTTTATATTTATAAAAAAAAATCAATAAGATATCCGATATAGATGGGATTAATTAATAAAATTTATTATGCGGTCAAAATGCTAGCTATAATTTCTTAATTATATAATTGACATTAAATTTTTTGATTGGCATATTATAAACCCATTTATAAATAAGTGTGAATGATTGATCATTGTCAGCTGAAGCATGGTTGCCATTGCAACTACCTCCACTTCTGTTCCGTAAGTTGCATTTTTGGGCCATGCCTGTTCTCTCCAAATAAGCGTCAACATTGCGTTTTCCCAGAAACCCCTCCAACTGCTCTAGCATATCTTTACTCCTCATAAATAGAATACGTTGCTATCTCAGAAAGAATGACATTCGTCACATCACAAATTTCTTTGCTTATACATCCATAATAATGACTAACACAATATAATTTATTTTATATATATCCATACCCGAAGTGGCAATTACCATCACCAATCATCATTTCAGTGGAAAGATTTTCGCCAATGATGCCAATTTTTAAATTCGGGATATTTTTTCTTGATATCCCAATTATAACGTAGTGAATAGTATAATTTTCAATTCCTGTGTGTAGGACGGATAAGATTTTCAACATCCTTTTTCTTGGAAACCACTGCCTCTAATATAATTTCATCCTCCAAAAAAAATATGTATAAATCTACTAATTATTCAAATTTATACCCTTCCTTATTAAACTTGCCTACTTCGCTATCTACATTCTTCAAAGTCACCATATGGTTGATGGTCATCAGGTTCTACCATTTTGGATGCTTCAGTTACTCTCTTAACTCCGTCATCTAAAAAATTTGCATATTATTTAAATATTTCTTATACCTTTTTTCATTGTGACATTTGTATTCCTCTCCAACCATCGCATTAAAGTAATTTCGATTTTTTATTAAGTGTATAAAAATATTACCTTTCATATGATTCTCTTCAGCATTGAGCTCTGCATTTTTTACTTGTTGGTTCTTGAAAATTTCAATCAACTAAAAAAATAAGAATATTATTAAATCAATTTGTATACCTTTTATGGTAGAAGAAAGAAACTTTTCACTCGGTAACCCTTGGAACTGTTTAAAGGTTATTAATAAATTTTTAAAAGTTTTTAATCTTTTTTTTTCTGTCCTGCCTTTAATTGTGTCATTTAGATAAATATATAAATATAATATTTATTTCTTTAAAATTATACCACCTTTTCTTGTAACATAATGTTTTGCGGGGTTTTTTTTTATTGGTGTCTCACAAGCATTTATTAGGTCAACATTGCCTAAATATTGCCAATATTTTGTTGTTTAATGATTATAATCTTTACTTGTGACAATCCCAACTATCGTAAAAGGACCTAGCCAAGGCCGTGTCATTTTTCCACCTTTCCTATCAGCTCGACGGCTGTTCCAGATAAGCACCTTATCGTTTATCTTATGGGGAGCGTTTTCTCTAGTAGTGCGGGTTCTATAATCCCTCTGCTGCGAGCCGGACAATATTATGTGTGTCCTGCATCTTGCAAACAATACTTTGAAAATGGTTTTCCCTATCTTTCTCCTCAACATTGTCGCGATCTGTATCACAATCATCCTTAAATATATAGTATATGATTTATAATTGGTATTATTATATATCTCATAAGCTTGTTTTGCTTTTCTACCATACATCAGCTCAATACGGTGTAAATTTCGAAGATTCATGAAGAGACATGTTATAGGCAAATATTATGCCAGAACAAGGCATCTGTCCAAGCCAATTGATCATCTTTAATACACTTTGAAAGTGCATTTTGGATTGTTCTATACCCTTTCAACCATGCCATTTGCTTGAGGGGTGATAAGCACCTGTCACCCTCCCCATGATCCCCTGGAGTTTGTGATAATTATTGCTTATTTCGTTCACAAACTCACGTCCTTGATCATTAATTTGAACCCAAAATATGATACTAATAATTTATTACCACAAATGTATCTTACTTTTGCCCTACCATATCTGCATTGTAACGAGTAAAGGAAACGCGATACCGATTTAGCTGTTTTATCCTTTAAAGGCATGGCTACAACATATTTGCTGAAGTAATCAACGGCTACAGCAATATATTTATATAGCCATTCACATTTTGTAAAAGTTAAATCAACTATTACCTTTATAATAATAGAGTATTGTTATACTATATATTCCACTAGGAAGGGAGTTAATCTTGTTAATGATCTTCAAGTGCGGTTAAAAATTGATTAAGGCTAAGTGAAAAAAATAATAATATAGGATATGGTAAAACCTGAAATCATGTTTTCATAAATTGTTACCTGAAATTGAAGAGGATTAAATAGGTTCAATATGTGAAAATAACGTGACTTGTAAGAACAAGTGCCACATTACTTATAAATAGTGTCATACCATTAATAGGACTATAAATAATTAATATAGAATACTATAATGCTAAAATATATTGCTGTACCAGTTGATTACTTCAGCAAATATGTTGTAGCCATGCCTTTAAAAGAAAGGTAAAACAGCGAAATCGCTATCGCGTTTCCTCTACTCGTAACTATGCACACATGGTAGGGCAAAAGAATGTTATATTTGATAATAAAAAAATATTAATATCATATTTTGGATTCAAATTAATGATCAAGAACACGAGTTTGTGAACGAAGTAAGCACTAATTAATCACAAAATCTTAGGGATCATGCAGATGGCGACAGGTGCTTATCACCCCTCAAACAAATGGCATGGTTGAAAGGGTATAGAACAATCCAAAATGCACTTCCAAAGTGTATTGAAGATGATCAATTGGCTTGGACAGATGCCTTGTTCTGGCATAATATTTGCCTATAACACGTCTCACCACGAATCATCGAAATTTACGCCCTTTTGAGCTGACACACGGTAGAAAAGCAAAATAAACTTATGGGCCATGATAAATATCAATTATTATTTATATCTAAGAATGACGAGGAAATTGATATAGATCCTGCCAATGTTGAGGAGAAAGATAAGGAAAACTATTTTCAAAGTACGGTTTCTAAGATGCAGGATCTTGCTCAGCTTAAGCAGCCTAAGGATTTTGGAACCCTTAATGCTGGGAAGAATGCTTCTTACAAAATAAACGACAAGATGCTAATTTGGAACAACCGTCGATCTGATAAGGAAGGATGGAAAATGGCGCGGCATTGGCTGGGTCCTTTTACGATAGTTGGGATTGACAAAAGTAAAAAATTATGTTCATTGACAACAAAATATTTGTAATTATTTAGGCAACGTTGAGCTAATAAGTGCTCGTAGAAAACCGATGAAAAACCCGAACTAATATTTCTAACATTAAACATTATGTTACAAGTAACAAATATGCATATTTTTTAAATGATGGAGTTCTCAATAGAATATATGATGGAGTTAAGAGAGTAGCTGAAGCATCGAAAATGGTAGAACCTGATGATCATCGACCATATGGTTAAATTTCTAAAAAAATTGATAAAATATAAATTTTTTTAATTTAATAGTTGCTTTGCATTACAATTTGAATCAGTCATAAATGCCAATCTTTAAAAAATTATTATATTAATATCTTACGTCAGTCATATTTGTCAACACCACTAAAAAAAAATATAATATTTAATTTACTCACGTCAATCGTAAATGTCAGGTTACAATTTCTGAGAAATTATAAAATAGGACCTATCAGTGGCGTAGCTAGGAATTTTCCTGGGTCCATATAACGGGCCTTTGGCCCTTTTGGCCAGCCTTCGGCCGGGTTTATCTTTCAAATCATAACCATATCTTCGATAATATATAATAAATATATTTTTTAAATGCATCAATAATATGTTACTATAATTTATTAGATTATTCTCAATGACTTTATAATATAATAATACTATCCAGAATAATTTAAATAGTAATATAATATCCTTCCACAAACATCAAAACCAGAAAAATATAATTCATATAAAATCACTTTTATGTCTTTGAGGGGTCCAAATCCGAAAACCACTCTCGTAGCTACGCCACTGGGACCCATACAGGTTCCTTAAATTTTAGCGGATTCTGGGTTCCGTCCTTAAATTCGACAAAATTTTGATGACTCCGATTTTAGACTTTGATTGACATCCGATAATATTGTTTGAAAATAGGTAGAAAAACTGGAACATGGTTTCGAAAGTGTTTATTTCAATTTTAAAATTAAAAAAAAAAAAAAATTAAAGGTCGTTGGCAATTTAGACGTTGACAAGAAGATGGTAGTTGACATATGAATCTCTATCCAAGAAAACTCAAAGAATCAAATTCCCTCAACTATAATTTTTCCTTTCCACGCAACGCGCACACATAAAAACAGCTTTTTTGTTTTTTTTACCCAAATTTTTGAATTATAATTTTGATAATTTCAATTTTTTTCCGTTGTCTTTTTAAGTTTACGTTAAAACCATTTCCGGTCATTATCTAACCCGCAAAAATATTAAGTAAATATTTCTTCAAAAAATAAAAATAAATTGATTATCAAAAAGACCGCAATATATATTTTTCTTCTTCTGATAATATGCCCACCAAGCGTGCAATTAAACGTGTCAAATTCTGATTGACAACTTATCAATTATATTGAATTTCTGATACCTTTAATTATTTTTTTTATATATTCAATTAAACTTAAATTATAAAATAATATAATATATTCGTATTTATTAGTGGAGTTAAAAATTATGTTTTTTATTTATATATTATAATAATAAGTGTAATAATAATTATTTATTCCCGCCATTTTTTTTTCTTCTATGTTCCAATTATTCGATGTAAAACTAAATAAATTTTTTTTTTTACTTTCCTCAGTGGTTGATTTATTTTTTTGGGTTCAAACCAATGACATACATAATACATAGACTGACGATTCATTCATTAAAAGTGTAACATCAATACAAATCAGCTGGAAACGCCATCTTGGTTACACTCATCATTATTAAGAATTTTAAATGAGAGCCTAATTTATCACTATGCCTGACGCATAATTTATTACTAAATTTTATATTTTTCTAACATCTATTTATATCAATTCACAATCAATTAACCTAAAATGTTAATACTAAATATGGTTAATTTAAAAATAAAAAAACAAATTTATGTATGAATGTATATAAAAAACAAATTTAATGATTCTAAATATTGTCCATCTCTAACAAAATCCGAAGCCAGGTCAGAACCGTCAGATTGCCTTCACAGTGGCAATAAATCGCATGGCTGCGTTATAACGGAGGCGAAATATATGAAGCATTCATAATTCCAAATTTATTTTAATTTTTAATAGGTTGAAAAATAAAAATCGAAAAAAAACAGCTGAGGACCAATATGAGTGGCTCAGGGTGGTGCCAATTTTCGGGATATTTCATCTTTAAAAACAGATAGAACATTTATCGTGAATAGAAATCAATTTTAAGCGCCCTGTAAAATCAGGATTATCAAGTTTCCAATCTGCAGCTTTATATTTCGTCTTTCCAAAAGATATTATAAATATTTGTATTATTTTTTAACTAATATAACTGATTCATAGTCATCCATAGTATTTCAATCCCTTTAATCTACATAAAGGCGAAAAATGGTTTATAGATTGATATCAAATCTCTTCGAATGTTATTTTGATTGATATATTGACAGATATCAAAATATATCGAGTGAAATAGGGTTAGATAAATTTACAGAAAATTGTATTTGGATACAGATACCGATACTTTATAAAATTTTGTATATAAGATACAAGATACTTTTCAAAATTTTAAAAATGATAAAAGATACTTATCTCTTAGATACAAAAATCCGCGATACTGCCCAACCCTGGAGCGAAATATATAAAAAAATAGAATATTAATACTAGCGTATTTTTATTTATTAAAAAGTTTACATAAATGTAAAACAGCTGGGGACGTCATTTTATACATTATTTAAAAGGGAGAGACAATTTATTTCCCAGTATGGAGCGAACTTTATTAAAGAATTGCCTGATCCTCGAGATAATAAGGATAGAAAGCAAGTTATAAATTTAATAGTAGTTTTTATCTTGAGAATAATTAATATATGGGTTACCAAAATGGCGGCTCCAGCTGATTCGCATTCGACCGACGCTGAAAAATGCATTATTTCTGTGAGCTCGGTTTATTCATTTTCTAAAACGGAATAGAGACTAAAATTTCCCAATTATATTTAATTTAAGAAATTTTTTTATCCTGATGTTAATACTCTTATTTTTGTCGCCTATATTTTTAGCAAATGAGGCTACATCGCGAGTGTCATCATCCAAGACAGCCAAAATTAGCCTGGTTCATTATTTGTGAAGCTAAATAATTTAGTAAATATTTTCCTCCAAGGTTGAGAGCCATTGATTTTTGCGACTTTAGATGATCTATAAAGTGCATCTTTCCACTGCTTCCATCATTCAAAATCTCCCACATTTCCTAATGTCAGATTCCTACTAACACTTTTCTATAATTTGAGAAAGTTTTATGAGTATTTTTTTCTTTCACTACTCTAAAATCTAAATAAGTATAATTTAAAAAAAAAAACTTATTATAATTAAAAGTTATATATACTTTGTTAAGAGCCATTTTTCAAATTTTTGTGGTAAATTTGTTATTAGAGTGGTTAGAGAATAAAGAAATGATGATCTATACACAAATCAGAATACTAAATTGATTTTCATTTTTGTTATTTGTTTTCATAAATAGTGGATTGTACATTTATTTAACTTGATGATTGACAATATCAAATTTTTTAGCCTGAAGCCCTGTCCTCGCCCTTATAAAATTTATGAGGCAAAAAAACTCATCTAATAGTGATTTCCTCCCCTCTACCCCCTCACCTTACCAAATTCCTGGCTAACCCTATGTGGTCTATGCCAGAATATATCCTAGCAACTAGAAAAACTTAAAAGAGTTGGGATGAGTTCTCAATAATTTAAACAGAGCAGATTGTCGAAAAAAATATAACAATTTCTAGGTTTGCTAGCTAAAATCTACTAATTTCTAGCCTTTAAGTAATAACATTTAACGTTAAAAGGATCTATAAAAAATTTAATCTGATTGAAAACCCCATATAAGACAAAATTACTTAGAAAATATTAACTCCAAGTAGTCTTTGGATGTAAATGGTAAGGTGATCGTTCAGAAGTGTTTAAGACATAAAGACCCTGACAAATAAAAAAATACTCAAAATTTTAATAATCGTTTTTAAAATGCTCAGAAGAAGATTAGCTTTTAAAAAAATATATATAAATTTCTTCCGCATGTAGATGTTCAATTTTGCCCAAAAATATATTTGACTACTGATAGTTATACAGATGAATTTGATTTTACCTATATGGCCGCCACCGACATATTTTTAGAAATTTTGTATGGAGCTAAAAAATACATGTTATGTTAAAGGATTTAGTTACAAAATGTGCAAGGGAAAGGAATAAAGAAGACAGTCCGTAAAGTTGGCAGAACGACTTGAGGTGCAATTGACAAAAATTATGCCATTATTTAGCGTCTTAATTGCACTTCTATCCACATCAGTTTAAATGAACGTCTGCAGTTATGAGCAAAATAAGTAAGTGTTGGCAAAATAAAAGAGATACATTTCTGAAACTTGGCAATAAAGTAGTATTTGATTTGCTCTTTAATAATTCTTAAACCTGGATATCCTATCACTAAACCGTGAACTGAAAGTACCCATTTATTATAATCGAGATTTAAAATAGATGTCCAAGCATTTCTGCCAGCTATAAGCAAAGTCTTTAGGCTTACTTAATGTTATTTTGGTTACAATTTTAGAATCGGGGCTTTTTTAAAATAGACTAGAATGGTGCCTTTTATCATTTGGCATCATCTATCCACCACCAACTTATATTTGAAACTGTTTCTATGAAAAATATGGATTAATATGAACATCACTCAACAAAATTATAGGACCGTATTTAATTCAATTGGATTTTTTAAACTTTTACCAAATTGAGAGATAATGCAAGGATATAATCACTTTATGTGTTGTGTTGTGACATAATACGTTCAATTTCTATTTAAAATGTTTATATTTTTTAACTTTTCTGAGGCGATATTATGTTATATATAATATATATATATATAAAGCATACAATTTACTTTCATATTAAACAAGAAAAATATAAGTATAACATTTAGACTTTGACTTTTTATATTTTTTTAAAGAAATATTATTTTAACCTTAAAAAATTGTAATTTTATTTTATCGTTATTTATAATTATTTATATCCTTAGTACTTCTCTTAATAAAATAAAATAACTAATGAATATTATGGTTCTCACAAGCTAATCCCTTCATAATGAAAAATTATTTATATCTAAAACAAATTGTTTGGCAATTCCTTCATGAGATGGGCAAAAAAAAAATAACGAATGCTATAAATCCCTATTCCCCCATGATTCAAAGAATATTGATTTCACTTTGAACCTCTCTCTCCAATTATATTATAGATTTGATGGTTTTATCCCAATTAGTAATGTTAGACGGCTAACTTAGATATCTATCCAGAAAAAAATAGCGCCTGGTTCTCGAGATTTCAATATTATAATGTCTAGAGAACCTTGTTCCTTCAGAACAAGATCTTTCAGGCCTGCGTATTATGTTTCCTGATAAAAATATCGAGTTGGCCGTTTTTATAACAGCACTAATCCCAATTTGTTAGGGTCAAACCCGAATATCTAATATTTTTAAATTAATATCAAAACCGGGGTTCAGACCCGGGGGTTATGAAATCAATCTGATTTTAGTATACCTCAAAAATACATTATATATTAATCAATAACAGCAGAATGTTATGAAGGAAATATTAGAACCATAATTTTTCAAATATGGAATAGAAATTACTAAAAAAAAGAGAGAGAGAAAGAGTTTTCTACCCGACACTGGAATTTATTCACCATACAAATGCAACCTTCTCGTTAAAATGATACTTCAATTATCTAAAATTCTAATGCAATTGGAAATTCTAATAGAAATAGTTGTATAACCAGTTTACAAGAAATATAAATATATAATTGTAATATTGTTGACAATAATATATATATATGTAAAAATGGTCATGGTATAAATTTATTTCATGTTAATACAAAAAAAAAAATTTCTTCTTCCGATCGTAGTCAATAATTTCTTTAGCTTTTTTTTGCAATAGCTATAAATAATCGGCACTGTTTTAAAATTACTCCAGAGCCTCAATATAACCTATACGATTTAATTAGCTTATAATTAAAAGAGTAATAATCGAATATTTACGAATTCAACATATACACAAAAAAAATTATTAAATATTTTGTATGAAAACTAGCATGGTTAGTTAGTGTTGTTAAACGACTCCTAAAACGAGCCGTTTAACAAAAGTTAGTTAATGTATCTATATAGTATCTCTCTCGATACATTTGAGATATTATCTTTTAAAAACTCTGAAGCCTAATATTTTTTTTTTATGAAAAAAAAAAATGATTTCCAATTGCTTCCTATAATATATTAATTACAGGCCCAATCATGTTCTGAATACATTAAATGTTGTGATCAAAATCGAAAAATTTGGGTTTTCAATAAAAGTCCCAAGATGGAATGCTGCCTTGCTAATTTCCAATCCATTTAACCCGGGCTGCCAAATTCTCACAGCTCTATCAAAAATCCCTTCACCCGAGGAATCGTTATCCAAATAAATTATGGACATTCTTTTTTTAAGCAAGTATCATATATATTGAATTCGTTTCCAGTCCCCTTCCGAGATCAATTGTGAATATTCT